GATACAATTATATATACATCACTTTTTAAAAACAGTAAGAGCTTCCATTAGCAACCCCCAAAATTTTCCCATAAATCACATGAGAAACCCCCATTTCTCAGTCTCTTCGGGAAAACTAGTTTTGACATCTTATTCGTAGCATTACCCGTCCTTATCAAAACATTTATTGTAGTACAGATGTTTGGCTCTTCATCGACACAGGCCCCATCTGTGGTGTACTGGAGTAAATTATCAGATCATTAACCCGCTACGGTAGCGGGTGCTCCCGAACAAAGAATGTCAAAGCTTTCACACACGACCAGACCTGGCGAAATTAGGCGGGTTTGTAAAAAATGGGGGTATGTCGGTAATGCTGCGAGGGGATATGTCACCCCTGTCTTTTTATCAAAGGAGAGAGACAGAGCGAGAAAGAAAGAAAGTTAATATCACATCAATTTTATAGTCTTATCGTCTCGTCTATCGCATTTTGAAGAAAAAATTTAAAACGTCGGTAAGTTTGGGAGGGGATACGTCACCCCTGACAGAGAGAAAGAAAGAAAGAAAGAAAGAAAGAAAGAGGGGATCTCTCATCAACATGATCAATCTGCCCTACCGTCTCTTCTATAACTCCGCTCTTTGAAAAAAGGGAAAGTCAAACATGCTGGAAGGTAATAGGCCTATGTCATCTATCCTCTAATCAAAGAAAGAAAAAAGAAAGAAAGAAAGAAAGAAAGAAAGGGAAGGGAGAGAGAGAGAAGGTAGAATATATCTTATCAATCTTATCGCCTTATCGTTCCTTTCTCCTATCCCCATCTCTTTGAAAAGAGAAAGTTACCGTGGCTGCTGAGTGGCAGCAATGATTAAAACATTAGCTTTATCGTGCGATAAGCGTGCACCCCCTCCCAGCCATGCCCCGTCGGTTTGACAAGCTACTGTAAACACTGATAGTGGTCCAGCCAGACACTCACCATTCGTCAAACGGCTGTCTTAGACCTGTCAAATTTATAGAGATCAAAGGGACAATGAACGTCCACAGGGTGGATCTATAAATTTTTAAAACAGGGTTTAACTTTCTTTGCATAAAAGATATTTTAAGTATCCAAAGTTAATTGCTTGACCCATTTTTTCATGTTTAGTTGCAAACACCTGTTTCAAAAAATTTAAATGAAATTATCATACTTATATGATTTATTATACATATATTTATGATATATTAAATGGATTTATTTTTACGAAAAATAGGCATGACCATGACACATATTTTACGGACTAGTTCATCTCAAGCTATGCAGGTCGACAAGAATTAAAAAGAGCATTTATTGCGAGAAGAGATTCCACGAATGTAAAAAAGTAAACGATTACAATTCTCTACTCTATCACAAAGTGCCACTAGAATTTACGACTCTTCAATGATTCAAAGTGCAGATAGGTTAGAGTTTTGACATACATTTTTGTCTTTAATTGATTGGCATGATTCATGGCCTTCAGACCTAAATCCATTGTTTTAACCACCCAAACTCTAAAAAAAAAATGTACAGTCACACCTTGGCAATTGAACCACCCACACGACTTGAGAGGGAGCAAAGACCACAAGGCTGAAAGATGGCCAGTGAGTCACTTAAGGGGGTCATTAATTCCAACCGATGTGTCACTATCATTTTTTGGGATTTCTATCTACTATGCGTAAGGCGATTGTATATTCTAGAATTTTTTTCCTCTCCCTCTCTCTTTTCAAAAGTAGTGGGATGCAAAGCTATCCCTAGACTCCCCGTTCCGACGCCTAGATGCCTCCATGGGGAATATAATTAATATTGGACAAGGATAATTTTTTTTAATATTTATAACTTACTACTAGAGAGTTTATTTTACACTAGCGTTTGGGAGCAGCTCTCTCTCTCTCTCTCTCTCTCTCTCTCTCTCATCAGCAAATTCATTATACAGGCTCTTTGTCATCAATTTCCAAAATAAACACGATCAAGTGTTGTAAACAGCCGTGGGTAATTAACTGACAAATGACGAGCCAGACTCGTTGAACCTGCCCTTATGGCCTTGAAAACAAATTAAATGTGTTAAGATTGATTTGAAAAAAGAGGATCAAATAAATAACAGTGTTTTACAAATAAGAAAGAATGTGCTATTGTATAAATCGGATCGTGGGCTGTGTATCAATAGATTTGCTACTTTTTTTCCAAACCTCAGTGAAAAATAACACACGCCAGCGCTATGTTGAGGATGTCATGGAAATTATAAATATTTATAGAAAACTGTGTCTGGTTTGGGTGATCAGTTCAGTGGGGGTCGACCTTTAGATTAAAACATTACATCATTTACACGTCAGGGATTTTCTCCCTGGTGGAAAAGGGTTATCATTTACGGTTCAAAGGGGGTCTTTTCCAGGGGTTAAAAAAATTCTGAGAGCCCCAGGAACTTTCTGAATGTTTCAATTAACGGGATGATAGAGATAGGAGGTCCCACGTTAAAGTATCGGCCTATCCTAAAATATGTGTAAAAAATAAGAAAATGCTTCTAAACATACATAAACAATATTCACTACAGTGCTTATCGAAAAAATAAACGATAACTGTCGATTCATCCGCTCAGCGAGACGTGAGTCACAGCGTCTGAATCACTTGATTTTCTTTTGCAAATGCCTGTAAATATTAATTGATTTACGGAAAACTAAATCGTGAACGATTTGTTTTCGAACTTTATAACTAGACCAATGATTGTTGATGAGTAAAATATTTAGTCATTTCGTAAAAGATTTTTTTTTTTTATATTTTGGTAAAAACAAATCAGTGAGTCATTCGCTCTGTGAATCTCGCTCCATATCGATTAGCCTGAGATTCAAATTCTAACATATTTCTGAAGAAATCGACGAAGGCACGATAGAGGGGCTCTGAAAATTATATCAATAGCCATATTGTTCTTCCCATATCGAACACGCTTTAATGGATAGGAGCATCGAAGCATAGGATTGGTAATCGCTTTAATTACTCATTTAAATTCTGTTTCAATGCGAAAGATCAAAAGCAGAATTTAAGGGAAGAGCGAGATTTCAACTGAAAATCAATCGTTTAACCCAATTACAATTTTATCCAAAACAGGACAGATTTTTTTTTTTTGTTAACTCTATGGGGACGTGTCTATGCTAACGTTCCCAAGTACTGGGAGTATTAATCCACAGGCTCAAATTTCAGCATTATACCGTTTGTAAAAGTACAAAATGCGCCCTGCATGTGAATTTGGTTAGACCCCGAAAATGCGGAGGAGTTATTATAAATGTGAATTTTAGTCGCTTAATTAAAATGCGGAAAATATCACCCTATGCTATTAAGTCGGTGCGCGTTGCGCAAATGAGCATTTTTTTTCCTCAAAAATATATATGTAAAAATTTAAGGGGGAAAAGAATAAGCGGGTCGTAATTATGGTAGAGAAAGATTTTCTTCGTTTCTTTTTGAAGTGTATCGGCCACCACTTATAATTATAAGTGGCACTTTAGTCTCACTTCAGCTGAGCTAGGAAGCAGTTTAGAAAAAAAATTATTTTTACCAAACACTCAATATACAAGTATGTGCGCAGTTATATAATTTTGTCTGTCATTATTTCCAGCAATTTTTTCCCCTTCTGAGTCTTCCATTCAGCGGCAATCAGCTCCCCCCGAATGATCCGTGAAAGGCAGATGAAGAAACAGGGGACGCGAAAGTGATACAGCAAAGCTAACTTTTTTTACACATGTCTTTCGTTATATGGGGGGTTTCTTGAAGTTTATATAAACGCATCATGTGGTTTTGTAGTTGAATGGAATTCTAAATATTTATCTAATTCCCGTGAATTCTGAACTTTTCATCGCGTTGAGGGCTACTTCGGGGGCGCATAGACAATTTGCTGTATGTCACATACATATATAAACAAGCCGAGCAATTTGTCCACTTAACCGTTTGCATGTATAGTAGTATATATGTGGTATTTCTCACTAAGAAGTGACTGAGCCCGGGGGGTAAACATATATTACATTACATTGGTATATAACTGTACAAGTGCGACTTGATGCGAAGCAAATTGAATTAAGGTGATAGTATTATGCTGGATTAGTGTGTCGATTTGTAATATCAACAGCCTCAAGAATTTTTCTGTCAAATATTTCGCACCAATGTCAAATGCACAGATTAAAGTCCGATTTCAGCCAACACAAAACATGATTTATGAGTCTCAATATGCTTACACTATCCCATTACAAATCCACATTACATGATTTTTTTTTCACAGTGCATAAAACATGCGCATTTGGCCTTGCTACTCATCACGCATGTTATGTAATCACTTAACATGAATGCCTTATAATCCACAGGAATAATCAAAAACCTGCTTCGCACCCCCAAAGGATGCAGACGACAAAATGAGATGCCGTCTGCAACAGGACGGGATAGAAGAGCAAACCACGACATGGGCGTGTTTTTCTTGTATTTTGCTCAGTCTGGTATATGGCGCTTATGTCGTTTGCTTGCTGACAATTTTTTTTTCTCTCATAAAAATCAATATAAGAGGAGTCGTCAATTTATTATAGTTTTCATTCCATGGAGAAACCTTCACGAATGAGGATGTTCTAGTTACGTTCAACAACAAAAGGCTGCAGAACAAAATATTCATATCTCAGCCAAATCACATATCTTTCCATCTTTCAAGAATTAAAAATTTCCGCTCCGGGAAATGAGTTTTTTTTAAATATATAATTCCATACAGGGCTTAATAGATTGTTTCCGCATTGCTTTGAAATATTTTTAAACCTCAGCTCGTTAAATCGTCGCTTCTTTCAAATGGATATTATTAAAATCCCAATTAGGATAATTTAAAACTGCTTGCTGAAAAAAAAGTACATAAAAAAGAGAAAAAAATCTTACCTTCTTTTCAATTAAGGTGTTGTTCATTAAAGCACTAATTTATCTACATCGTTCACTCATCAATGAAATCATTTTCATAAAGATAAAATTTTGTAAATGGTTATAAAATTGTCTACTTACATGTAGAGTCTGTTGCTTCTGCCATCTTGCTGTAGCGAGAACAAGCAAATAGCCAATGCGTCTGCTGCGCTAATCGAAATCGAGGCCGGAATTCCTTGTGGGGCACACCCCCTTTTCATATATTGACATAATCAGAGCTCTGAACGGGAGGCAACTCCAACTCAGATATTCATTAAAGTTAAATCAGCGTCTTGAACATAAAATATTAACATTTTTAGTTTTTAAGCATGGGAATAATTGATACAATTTAAAAATAATGAAAGAACAGCAAATGTCAATCTGTGTAAATTTAGCAAATAAACGTACACTTACGTTTCACTTTTATAACATTCCCTTCTATATTTTTTGAGATTTACTTTAATTGTCCACAAATTATTATTGGAATATACTTGTAAGATCTATGTTAGATAAAAATTGTTCCTCATTCTACCTTAAATCACCTGCACAGAAACTTGAATATATACTTTGTGCAAAACTTGAAGTTATACCTGTTGTTTGCACTTTTGTAAAACAATCATTAGAATTCAGAAATAAAAGGTCCACATCGGTGTAACATTTAGGAAATAAATTTCTATACGTCAATTGTATATATAATTCATTGTTTTCTTTTGTTTTGTTTTTTATGATGGATTGTATTGCTTGACCCATATGGGTGCATTATGCAATAAAGAGAATTATAATATATTATTAAATTTATAAGAAAACAGAAAGTTTTATAGAAATGTTGAATTAAGCAATATTGATTCCTTTTACCTGTTGTTTTGCTGGACATGAAGCCCGATAATTTCGATGTAGGAAAATTAAATGTCAAACACCTAGCAGCGATTTCCAAAAAAAGTGGGGACAGTAGTTCTATCGGAAAAATTAAATGTTCACCCGGTTTAAAAGGGGGGCTAACTACGCATCACCCCACCCCAGCCCTGTCACATCCCGTTTATATATGTCTGAGTGTGAAGTTGATTTGAGTGATAGTTTGGAGCATCTGAAATAATTTTAAGAACTAATTCTTAATGTTTATGTTCATTCGAAAAATAATCTTTATGACATGGTATATTTTATATCTATAATTTCTGTTCCATCACAGCCGGTATATATACCGGTAGATAACACTTTAAATAAATACAGATAGAAATAAACTTTTTTTTATATATATATGAATTGAACCATTTATTCAACAAAATAAGGGTTTAAGTAACCCGCATAGTATAAAATATCCATAAATGTGTAGAAAATCTGCAGCTATCACATTTCTACAATCGAATTTATGTTAGTTGTATTTATAAGCATGAATTTAAAAGGCTATGATATTTTTTCTTAAGTTTCCACATGAAAACTGCGTTGCAAAAGAAACAGTTGCATTTTAAAACGGGGGGGGGGGGGTAAAGTTATGTTGAACCCACTTTTTATGTTTTGATTAACTATCATCACTCCCAACAATACACTAAGCCTCAGAGCATGATATTACGATAATATTGATGTACTGTTTCTATCTTTTTATCCCTTCTCTCTCTCTAATTATTAAATGACCCCAAAGAACTCTGTCACGAAATAAATTAAGAAGCTATTATGTACCACATTGGAGGATGTCACATCTTCAGTTTTTTCCCTTATCATCTATATTTTCATATTCTGTTGGGAAAAGGCATGGTCCTTTCAACTTAGAAACTTGGATCACGCACGCATGGTTTATGGCAAGTTTGGTTTAGACTGACACAAGTATATATACTGTATATAGGGAAAAAATATTCCAATGTGAAACTAAACATCCTTTTCTTATATACGAAAGCACCCCCCCCCCTCCCCGTTGTAAGAGGTCTATGGTTCTTTTCGGTCACCTGAGTATGAAACAACCCTGTAAAAGTTCCACAAAATGACAATTTGATAATTATATTATAAAGAAAAATAAACTGATGAAGGACGGTATACCGGTATGTTGCTTGGAATCAAAAGAAATGAGGAAATCTACAAAACCTAGCTATTTTAGAAATCTGCAATAGCTCTAAAAATATATTTCTTTATTTGCCTATACTCGTATATGCCAATACTCCTACACTTCCATTTGATACTAATTCCACTCTAATCTTATGATCCATATATAGTACTTCAAAATAAAACTAGTACCTCAGATCAAACTATAAGGATCATTTCCTGCTCGTTATCTAATATTTATGGTACAAATCAAAATAGTATTATAAAATTGTTATTGATTAATTTACCACTCATTTGTAGATGCATTAAAAATTCTTGACTAACACTCTGTATAAATGTACCTGTCATTTACAGTATTTACTTTGATTAATGATCAAAGGGGAATAAATTCTCTCAAAGAATTGATAAAAAAAAATCTCCTACATCCCTTCTTGATCAATAGAGCACTGCTCCAGCACTGACGGATTTAGAGGGGGCCCGCCCCCTTTGTGTCCATAATATATATACATGAGATTGAATAAATTATCTTTGGGGTGTGGCTGTCGGCCCCTACCCAGACCCCCTTTTTTCAAGATCCCTGGATCCGCCACTATCCAGCACCAGAACCCCGGTCCAAAGGCTCCTGAATTTCACAAATTCGTAAAAACACATTTGCTCATAAAAACGGTGTACTTAGTTTGCCTGTTATATACCTATAGAAGCATAGGGAAAACTTTCAAATAATTCATATACAATTTCTCTATATTACCAATAGAGTTCCATCGTAACCTTGACTCAGGATCCATAGTACTAAGAAGCATGCAGAAAAAATTGTCATATAATTCATACATTTTTCACTATCTGGCCAACAGATCTCCTTAACAAGAGAACCCCTGAAGCAGGCAGCATTATTTCCACAATTTTGGAAGAAACATATATTTCACATCATAACCATGCACTTAGATTGTCTTCTTTCTATAACGATCATGATCTGATTTGAAAAACATTGAAAGAATTAATTCATTTTCTCTATACATGATCATCAGAGCGCCACCCTCACACCAGAACCGAAGACTCCCAATTTCGGTAGATCTAGGCTCAATGCTCATCAAGCATGATCATGCCAACTGTTTTACATCTTGATATCCAGGCGCAGGGAGAATATTTAATTCTGCTGGTTTGGACTCCACCAATCCACTTAAGGATCCAAGGGGTCAGACGATGATTTGTATGCCCTCTACGAAGAAGGGAGGGCATATTGCTTTGCTGCTGTTGGTCCACCACCAGTTTCCGTACTTTCTTCGCAGAGGTTGCACATATTGAAATGAAATTTGGTATACAGATTTATTATAAAAATATCTAGGTCTAGATGTGTTTTGGGCATAATCGGACTATTTTGGACAGAGTTATGCCCCTTTGACTTAGAAAAATTCCAATAATTTGCAGTTTCTGTTCATTTTCTTCGCAGAGGTTGCACATATTGGAATGAAATTTGGTGCACAGTTTATCATAAGAATATCTAGGTCAACTTCTGTTTTGGGTATGATCAGACTATTTTGGACAGATTTATACCCCTTGGACTTACAAAAATTCCAATTATTTGGGGGAGGAAGGCATAAGTGTTTTACAAATTTAACATCTCTTGTCTTCGTATTGACCTCAAAAATACAAACATAGGTAATCAGAGATTACAGAGCTCACCTCAACGAATGTTGTCTTGAAGTAAGGCAAAGTCACACAATTAACCAACAAAAAGTGTACATCCAAAAATGCAACATTTATGCAATTTTGATCTGATATTTTGGAATAGACCTATATAAAAACTTCAAACTAGTTCTTCATCATGAAAACATAATTAAAATCCAGCATCTGAAGCAAGTCTGGGAGTTTTCATCCCTTGATGCATCATCTGTGCAAGTTTGTTTTATGTAAGCCTTTTTATTTCTTGGTAATAGACCTGCACCCATAACTTTTACCAGGTCCATTATCTGGAAAATCTTTGTCTAATTCAGCATCTGAAGCAAGTTCATTAGTGTGCATCCTAAGATGTATCATCCATGCAAGTTTGCTCAACATAGGGCTCATAGTTACTTGGAAATGAAACCTGTATAAAAAACTAACCTTCACTAATCAAAAAAATGTAGGTCAGATTCAGCATCCGAAGCCAGCCTGGTAGAATGCACCCTTAGATGTATAATCCATGCAAGTTTGGTTATTAAAGAGCTCAAAGTTACTTGGAAATGAATCCTGCACCAAAAACTTTAACCTGTTCACTCATCTGGAAAATGTAGGTCAGATTCAGCATCTGAAGCAAGTCTGGTAATATGCATCCTAAGATGTATCATCAATGCAAGTTTAGTCATTATAGGGCTCATAGTAACTTGGAAATGAATCCTGCACAAGAAACTTTAACATGTTCATTCATCCAGAAAATGTAGGTCAGATTCAGCATCCGAAGCAAGTCTGAAAGTATGCATCCTTAGATGTATCATCCATAAAAGTTTGTACCTTATAGTACTTATAGTTACTTGGAAATGAGACCTGCACCAAAAACATTAACCTGTTCACTCATTCAGAAAATGTAGGTCAGATTCAGCATCCAAGCAAGCCTGGTAGTGTGTATCCTTAGAGGTATCATCCATGCAAGTTTGGTCAACATAGGGCTTATAGTTACTCAGAAATGAGACCTATACCAAACTGCAACAAAAATGTTAACTTGCTCCGAAAACATTAACTTGGTCATTCCTTTGCTGAAATTGCAGCATCTGAAACTTTGACTGGTACAATGAAACACACTAGAAACATCTTCCATGCATGACTAATTAACATAGTATACATAGAAGTACCTAAAAAGAAAACTGCTCCAAACAACTTAACCTTACCATGGGACGCCGACGCCTACGCCGAGGGTATCACATAAGCTCCCCCAACTTCGTTGAGGTGAGCTAAAAACACTGTAAGTATTTTTTCAAGTCCCCGTAATCAAAGATTCGGGGTTATCAAGTTTTTGCACTAACTGTCCATCTGTCTTTCTTTGTGTTATCTCATAATGTTTGATTGGATTGGTTGGAGCTAGATTTAGCTCTCATATTTCACGTTTTTTTTTCTTACAATGCCTTTATCTGTGTACCAACATATATGACCTCTGATCTTGACATCTGACCCAGTTTTGCAAAATTTTACCATACTTTATCCTTGGCCATTAATTTTGTACAGTTGGACCTGGGCATTCATACTTCACTTGAGTATTTATTGTGATAAGATCTTTCAATGGATATAAATAGTTTTGACCTTGACCTTTGAGTTTGGCCAACTTTGGACATAACTTTTGAACAGTTAGTACTAAGACCTTCATATTTCACAGGTGTATTCTATGTGAAAAGGTGCCTTCGGATACCAACCATTCTGGCCTTTATGTTGGAGTTTGACCTACTTTAGAAAACTTTAACCTTGGCCATAACTTCTGAACAGTTGCTACTAGTGCTTTAATAATTCATAATTCATAAGTGTACATGTATTTCGCATGACAAGACCACCCCTTTAATTTAAAGGTAACTTTAATATAACCCTTGACCTTGGAATTTGACCTACATTTCTTTCTTTGGGTTATAATATTATTCCCTTGACCTTGGAGTTAGAGTTGCACTTGAGAAACTTTTGTCAAAAACTGACATACAGAGGCATCAGTATTTCACATACTCATCTTGTTTTAAATTTACATATGGCTGAAATCAATAATTATATGTGATCGTTTGATGAGAAAACCCAATTTATATCAACCTTCAAACACAAGGCAGTATAACAATCAAAACAATCCTTAGCAATAATTTTATTACAAAAAAAAAGAGAAATAAAAATCGCACTGGATGGAAGGAAAACTACAAGAAAATGGCCTAGGATGTGAAATAAATTAAGAATGTTGCCAGTCTTGCAATAATTTCATTTAAATCTCACAATCTGAACAAAAAAAAAAATCTACCACACACTTCATTCGTTAAATAAAAAAAGCCGTGTAACAACCTCACTGTTGATTTTAATAGCAATGTAATGATATTGTAATATTAATGTAATAACACTGAAACAAATGTAACAACTTCATCAACACTACACTCTAGATGAGATATGGCAGTTAATTAACTAAGTCTCCTTAATTAAGTCATAATCAAGTCTCCTTAATTAAGTCACATAAAAACATGCATTCAGGATCATTACCTCAATTCTTTGGTTTTTAAGTTTGTAATTTTTCACTAACAACTATCATACTCTGTGTTGCAAGAGTTATCAGCTCTTTGCACACAAACGTACAATTATAAGTATACAATGCCTTACCATAAGAGTTATTTCAGCATTCAATCATACCATTTGCTAAATTCTTACAAAATTATCATCATTTAAAAATAACAGCATTTCAACAACTGAGAGTCAGTCCCTTGTTTGAAATAGGGACAAATACCTAACAAATACATTTATTAACATTCACACTAACAAATATTTAATTCTGCTTTTTAATCTGCTACAACCATTCGTATTGTTTTCTGATCTACCCTGTATTATAGCATTCTAATCAATGACAAAGAATGCCTCAAAAATGAGAAATGATGACCCAGATTTATACCAGTATATTTTTGTGAGTTAACAATATCTGGTCAAAATACTTGAAGGATACAAATGACTTCAATTTTTTTTCTTTCTGTCAAACAAAAAGCTACTTAACATGGGCTCACAGTCAAAAGAGTAAATGCATTCATGCACTGCAAACAAAAAACATGTCATTCATGGATACATTACAATGAATCTCTGTCTCTAACATAAATGAATATATCAACTATATCTCTGTTTTGATCATTCTCATATTTAATAGACTGATATGGCAGAAAAAAAGATAAAACATGAAACAGAGTCTTGACCCCGTAAAAATACTCTATTCACTGTCCTTTGATATACTCTATCTATTTATAGTACAAAAATATGACCTTAATCTTTTGAACAGACAGCTATGATTGTCATCTGAAAAACAGAGAAAAAAAATCAGTTTCCTTCCTCGCACAATATATAATCATTGATAATTTAATATTTAAAACACATTTATTATTTAAATTATCTGAAATCAATTTAAAACTTATTACTTATAAGTTATAGAAGATGTCCAAGTTTGTATATTCAAATCAATATTTATATATAACAGACAAAATAAAGAGCGATATATGGTAAGTGTCTCAATTGGCCCCTTAAAATGAATATCTTAATTTTACTTTATATGTAGCTTTAAAAGCTATATATGCGACCTTTATTGGTTATTTTCATTTTGATCAAAATGTTGTTATTTTAGAAATATGACATAAAAATAACGTTTTCCCGCCATTTTAGCATATTTTGTATAAAACTGCTTATTTTCAAGCAGTTTTTCTTCCAGAAAATATAGAGCGCAGCCCAGAACAAGATTTATATTTTTACCAAAGATGTATTTATCCAATACTTATTAGTGACAGAAAAATTATGTATGTTCTACACTGCGCTCTATGTTTCCCATAAGAAAAAACATCAAGAAAAAGGCATATTTATTGCTTTTTTGTTAGATAGCAAAAATAACATTATTTCTCATGCCATTTACAGCTAGTGAGTGCATATAAATGTGAAAAATATATTGGAAATATTTCTAATATAATCTCTTCTACAGAATAAATATCAATTAAACATATTTGAATGTCATTTTAAAATGTTGATTTTTAGGGGGCCAAAATTGTCTCTTATCATATATACTCCTTTATACATCATTATATCAATGAAATAAAAGAATCTTTATGAAATTAATCTTCAGGTTAAATTCTCAATTCTCCCGAAGATTTTTCATTTCTATTTTATTATCACTCACTGGAAAAAAGAACTAAAAAAATCAACCTTTTTTCAAGTAATTCTGAGATTCAGATATGAAGTTTACACAACAGAAGTCTATTCATTTGTTAGTAACACTAACATGAATGGTTTTACAATATCAAGCTAATACATTGTATAAATTTTGAATACTATTACATAGCTCCAAAGATATAGTTTAATTAGCAGATGTATCACTCATTCAAAGACACTTATATAATTAAGTCACATCAACTTCAATTTTACGTACATTTTATCACTACGACATGTCAGCATCAAAAAGACTTATTGCAAGTCTATTACATCATCAATATTAATTTCTAAGGAAATTTTCTTACTATATAAAATTTCATATTTTAACACACAAAGACTGAATAGAATCACATGTTGAATCAAAATTATTATGCAAATCTTTGGGACAGAGCAATAAATGGAATTCCAAAGGTCAAGGTTCAAGAAAACAGATACACATGTATAAAAGTATCGGACAATTTCTATATCAAGTGAAATTTTTAACAAGACAGCATCAGCCATTACAAGTAAACTGACAAATATTGCATAGCAAACTCCATCTCTAAAAAGAGACAACAGATTCCTTAAATACTAATTCTCAAACACTAAACAATGTCATGAATGGTTTCCTAGGCAACAAAGCACTCTCCTGTAAAAGGAGGAAGAAAAGGATGCCCCATCACTGACTTAGCAGCTCTTCTCCACTTTGTATCTTATAACTAATTAAGCATTCTCTTTACTCTCCATTGACCATCTGCTCTTTTGGTTGATTACTAGAAGTATTGTTTTTGGTTTTAGCAGCTTTAGAATCTGATTCCGAGCCACTGGTTCCATTCCTGGCTGATGCTGAGTACTTTTGGGCCGGTTTTCTCTGTTCTCGAGGGGGAGCTGATCCCGATTTCCAGTTTGGTTTATTGGACTGACCGACAGGCTTCGTACTACCTATATTACTAGCTTCCTTGGACGGTCCAGATGGTTTGGATTCGAGTTCTGTTTTCACTTTTGATGGTTCAGTTTTAACTGAATTCCCGTTATGAGAAGTGTCATTCTGAAATTGTGACGGCCTGCCTCCAGACGGCCGATAATTAGAAACACTATTGTCCGTTTCTGTACCCGAAGCAGCACTTCCATTACCAAAGGGACGATTCCTATTCCTTCGTTTTCTCCTGGGTCTTTGATCTCTATGATCTGTGAACAAAACACAGCTTGATGAAATCAAAACACAAAATTGCTATAGATGATATTGCTGGATTGGCTGGATTACACATTACTTTCTATTCCCTAAATTGAAAATTTGATCAGTAATCAGTTCTAAATTTTCTGATATCAATTACAGAATCAGCTAATAATTCAATCCTAAAGTACATGGCTAATTACATATTTCTTTTTTTAAAAGATTTTACCCTCATAAACCTTTAAGTAGAGTTAAACATTTCTAAAGATTAAGCATGTATTCTTATAAATATTATATTCTTATAAATCTCGAAATGTCTTTCCCTACAGATGTAAAGTTAATGTACATTTCTCCTTTTATATTTTTGACTTTGACTCACCATCTTGGTCTTGACTGGTGACACTGGCGTTATCTAATACTGTATCATCATCATCCGTCATCCTACGCCGGGAACGTAGATCCCGCGATTCATCTGTATCATACGCCACTGAAACAATTTATATAATGATTAAAAAGTGTAAAATTATCTACATTCACAAGAAAAATCCTCAAATTTACAATAAACTGTAGTATAATAGTGTACATCTTCAGGACTGCAAATATGCTCAGTTTTCTTTCTGAAGAATATGATAAAATTCTTCTTTTTCTGTTCTTGTCTCTAAAGAGACCATTCACTAAATTGTCCATATGAGATTACAGAATCAAGCAAAAATGAAACCTTCACCTTGGAAAATACTATGAATACTTTGTATTTCATTTAGTACCATAAATGCATCTATATGGGTAAAAGTGCCTCACTAATCCAGAGTTTCAACTTTATAATTTGTTAAGCTTAAGTCACATGTAAATGATGCATCATAATTGCTGTTTCATAGTACATGTACCAACATCAAAATGCTATTCTAACATTCTCATTCTATGATGTCTAATAAAATTTTCAAATTTCAAGACTGGTAGGTAAAATATGTTAAAAATTAAATTCTGATCCATAGAATATTGGTGAAGGGTCTATATCACTGTGGCACTACTGTATGGATGTTCAGAGAGAGAGAGAGAGAGGGGGGAGGAGAGAGAATGTACAGTATAATTTGTCTAATCAGTAATCTGAGTTATTCAAAATCTTTGCCTAAAGAAAAATTGAAAGTATAAGTTAGCCAAGTGAATACTCCAGATTAATACATGTATTTGGATTCCAAGAATACGGAATGACTTAATCATCAAATAATATTTTTCAACATATGCAAAAAAAATTGTGAAAAAAATAAGGGATAGAAATCTTGATCACTTTTCCTGTCTAATCTGCACAATTTTCATGGAACCAGGGGTACTTGTACTGTAAAATCACATATTCACGGGGACAAATTTATGTGGATTGAGGAAAAAATGTGGGCTTGTTGGGATTTAATTTCGTGGATGGAGAAAGGTTGAGTAGTCAAATCGTGAATAATTACATTTCATGGTGGACATAAACTTGTGGGTCTCTTAAATTAGATCCTTACAAAAATTAATGATTTCACAGTATCTGGTTTGGACAAATGATACTGTACTATAAAGCACTAAAACCAAGCCAAAACAAGAAACATGGCACATACTGTGTCTGCTGGTGGAGTAACTGGGTCTATCTGATCTATACCGACGCTGGTCGTTATAATCTGTCAAAACAAAGGCATGCAAATAGTGGTCTGAGAGAGCATTAATTAGGAAAAGCAGCTACTAAAGAGTGCTTCTATAAAAATATATATACAAATGTATTAATAAAAAAAAAATGATAATAAAAATTATTTACCATTCCCAACTAAAGCATAACTTAAGTTATATGCATACAACATAAAATGAAATGGAAAATGATATCCAATCTTTAATGTACCAGTTTGTTAAAATCAAATGAGATGAATTAGACTGATAAACATAAAATAAAAGTAAATCTATTTGGCATCCTATCCATAAAAAGCATGAAAAATCAGGGGTTCAAAATTTTTTTTGTCATGGTCAAGTCCAGGACTTAAAGAGTAAATTTTAGGCAAGTCCGAGGAAGAAATTTGATAAGTCCATATTAATTGATATTTCATTAAATTTATGTTACTTATAATTTATTTTCATTTGTTGCATTGAATGAATAAAGACTATATGTATTAATATATGTTTTATTTTTCCTCCATAAACTGTCATATAGTCATACATGAGTATTTCAAAAGTACCAGACTGATAGGTTATTGGTACATTAAAATAACTTTTACAAATACTCACTACTGAATAAGGCCATATAAAATTGAAATCTTGGTTCTCAGGCCCGCGCGCATCCGTTTTGAGGTAGCCGCAGTGCCGATTTTATTGTATTTTTGATAAAATAAAAAGTTGGTATTGCTTATGAACTCGTCAATGGCAGTGGGGAAAAAAAATTCCACCTCATTTGTTTCGAAACCTTAGTGGTTAGGATTCAAATATCACTATAAGGTAGCCATTTACAATGAGATTTTGGCTACTTTTTTGAAAATACATTCGAGGACATTACCTACGATGTTTGCACGCTGTTAAGCAATGGATAAAGCAGAAATTTTGACCAGAAATGGAAAGTAATTGTGATTAAAAAAATTATCTTTATCGTTAAAAAAAATAATAACATCAAATTAAAATAAAAAAAAAATACCTCCCTCATCTACTTTCAATTGCCAATATAAATGAAAAATAAAATGCCGCCCTGATCTGTTTAGGAAGAAAATTGCCTGAGAACAAAAGGGAATTAAATTTAGATAGCCTAAACCATCTGTTACAATAAATAGCAGTTAGAATGTGCTGTAAGTCAAAGTTTTATTTCTTTGTTTTTAATTTAAAAAAACTAATAGACTAATTGCCGTTTGTCAATAGGAGGAAACAACATTTATGTGTGAGAATGTTATTTGCTGTTTAAAATTAGATTATGGATATCGCAACGGAAAATATAAAGACGGATTGTATTTTCAAACGTTCGTAATGTTTTATGGGTATTTTAACGACCACAAACCCACATTTTTACGTAATACATTTGAGAATTTGCTTTATTTTTAGCTTTACGATCATTTTTTTAACTTAAAAAAAATGATAAACAAAAAACATCCCAAGCCAAGCATAACTTAAGTTATATGCATACAACATAAAATGAAATGGAAAATGATATCCAATCTTTAATGTACCAGTTTGTTAAAATCAAATGAGATGAATTAGACTGATGAACATAAAATAAAAGTAAATCTATTTGGCATCCTATCCATAAAAAGCATGAAAAATGTTAAATGATAAGCCTACGGAAGCCATTGTTATTTTACCTGAGGACCTGTTGGAGTAATAGCCTGACCCCCGGGGATACCTGCCTCCCCTACCCCGGGGCCTGTACCCTCCTCCCCCTCCTCGGGGTCCCCGCCCGGTCAGAATACTGTCCGTGTAGTAGCCTGACTGACGGTTATCTTCAGCGTTCATCTCCTCTGACCAATCAGCTATAGGGGCTGGAGATGATTCATCTGTAAAATAAGTTCATATTAGTTCACAGAGACATGCGCATATAGTACTTCCTTATTGATAAGAAAGAACATGGTTCATTATTTTTGAGGTTCCACTTTCAACAGCACCATATTATCCAACTTTGTTATCTCAAACCCTGATATCTCAAAGACCATGGATATGTGAAGTTCCAACCCCTTACCTTTTTTTGTAATTTTGCCCTGATTATCTTGAATCATCAGATATCTCCAAATTTTCTCGGTCCCATGAGTTTGAGATAACAAGATTTGACTGTATTTACATATCATGCTACATTGTTTTATTTTCTGCTAGTCTGTATTGTGATACCATTTTCCATGTTCCTTACCTGTGTTGTAAGTGCATCTCTCATTGGCTTACCTGTGTTGTAAGTACGTCTCTCATTGGCCCATCTCCTGCCTCCTCTACCCCGCCCCCTTCCCGTTCCTCGTCTTCCCCGGTCATCTGAGGATGGGTCATTACTCCCCCTGAAATATACAAAAAAAATCTTCATACAAAATCTTATATCTTCCATGTCGATATTTTATCTCTGGATGTTTTATGTAATTTCTTTTTAAAATATGTATTTGGAAAAAAGAAAAAACATTTTTGTTGACAAATCATAGAAATAATGCAATTAATGAAAACCCCATCTCTCAAATTTACATGTATGATTTATTTTCACTTGACTAGGTATTTTACCACATGCACATGTAGATGTGGATTTAGCTGTGAAATATAACTGAAATCTTACTTCACCATTAACTGAGGTTAATCTGCTGGAATGGGCTTACATGTTAAGCTTTCCAGTATAATAAGCATGACTATGTTTTTGTAAAGAATCAAAATTTAACAGACTAAAACTCCCTTCGATAGTAAGTCTTTCAGGCTCTTGAAATATTGGTATAGTAGTGTACAGTATACTTGTGTGGCTGTGTGTGATGATTGAAATAGTTAACATTAAAACCTTACCTCCTTTCCCTGTTTGGTGGAAAGTATGGTCCAGTCTGGGGTCCCGCTAAACTCTTCAACTGTTGGTCAATCTCTAACTTCTCCAGTCTCAATTTCTCAACTTCCTACAAAACACATAAATATGTCAGAATTAACATTCATGAAAAGCTTTGAAAAGTCATTGTAAAACAGATATACATGTATATTTTTCTCCCTAAGATCTTATGTCATGGTAGAAATGAAAATTTTAAACTTCTTTTGTATCAAGGCAATTCATAAAACACAGAAGATTGCAGTATATAGTTTACAAGAAGATAACACATTGATAAGACTGAGGCAAATTAAGAGTCAATCTCAGTTGTCAGATCAGCTCCACTATTTTGTCAGACAGATAATTTTACCTTCAAATGATCCAAGTTGTATTCCAGTAGAATCTTGGCATTTCCCGTACTTTCTTGTGTCCCAACAAATATAAAAGGTACTTGTCCCTGAAATGATGACAGAGTAAATATCAGGATTAAAATGACAGACAAAATATATTTAATACCCTTCTCTTCCCTTTGAATGGATTTCTAACACTGTGACATAATAATTGTACAATGTTAAAATGTTTCTCAGGAAATTTGCTTTCTTAAAGATTTTAAAAGTATAATGAATGTTGAATATAATATTGCTCTCATTTACGTTTAATTAATAGTTAAAATGTTTTTATGATATGTTAGTATTTGTAAAATATCTGAACTCAGAAAAACAATAACAAGGTGATGTGAATAAACTAAAGAATAATTAACTCAATACAAGAATAAACAATGGAAGACATAATAATAACAAATACAGGTGTACTTAACAAAGGAAGAAACAGAAGCAAGAGATAAATACTGGCAAGATGCCAAAAAGTAAGACACATGTGACAGTTGTCATATACTGTGTATATACAATGCTAATCAAACTCAGGCAACCAGCTTTTGTTACACTTCTTTTCTTTTTTCTTTCAAAGATTAAGTTACTGCTAATCAAATCTTTGGATTTTTTTTTAAAGCTATGCTGAGTTTGAGCAGCATAAATATTCTCTTTTTTGCACAGATATATTTAGCTATACAAAGAACCAGACTACATCTTTTTTTGCACAATATTTCAGCTGCACAATAAATGTTCTCCCCAGTAAATTTAAATAAAATATAAAGAGCCTATCATAAAATCACGTCTGTACATGTATGAGCTGTAATATATTGTAAATGTGTCATCTTTTACCATAGTATAGTTTTGTTGATAAACTTACAATGGTTCTCCTAAAACAAAATTTGTCTCTGATTGAACCCTTTACATTCTGTGTTTACAAAAAAACTCATTATTAGCCAACAAAGGACAAAATAATTTAGTAACATTATAATTCCAAGAAAACATAACTTAATTCAGATTTCCATTCTTTTCATTTATTCTATTGCTACTTTGCAAGTACATGTCTAAAGGAATAGGTACACATTGTTTTTGGATGGTGGAAATCATCGTACTAACAGAAAAAATAAGCAGTATTATATATTATTATATCCTTTGCTTGAAAAGTGGGAGGGTATATAAGGATTGGGATTTCTGTCCGTCCGTCTGTTACGCTTTGGGGTATCCATCTCTTATCCGCATAAAAAGATGTGTTTGTGAAACATCTGATCCGGCCCCCATCCCCCCCTGGGTGCTAGTCTATTGTGCAGCTGGGTGGGATTGCCGACAGTGATTGACATGTATCTTACTCCGCCCCCTTACCAGTGACGCCATTACCTCCTGACGAGGCGTGTCGGTTTCATTATCCCCCTCGATCTTCACCCGCACCACCCCTGACTTGTCCACGATATCCTGGATGTTACGGCCATTTTTACCTATAACCTTGGCTGTAACAGAAAAAAACTTGTAAATTCAGTCATTCTTAATTTCTGGCTTCAGCAAAGAACTATTAATAATATAATTTTTTCTCAAACAGATGAAAAAAAAGTTTTCTCAACTAAACTGAGTGCAAAAGGCCTTATTATTTACCCTTATCAATATCCTATAGTATAAACAATTCATTAAAAGTCCACACTGAGTGACTTGCCTACTAGCTCTCTGGGAACCTGAAACGTTTCTTCTACATACTCCAGTAAGGCTCTGGCCTTCTTCACAGCTTCTTGAGACTAAAACACAAATTGCAAAAACAAATTGCAATTTTCTTTTTCATGAACAATGTAAAACTTTGGTACATGTTCTCTATATGCTTTGCTGATTTAGAAAATTACGGTAAGAAGTTGCACAATATGCTTGATTGACAATATCAAACAAAAAGCAACCAAAAAAGTAGGTCTACAATGGTGTATAACACATGATCCATCACTGACCTCCCCATGAACTTTAAAAGTACAGGTGTCCTCGTCCAGTTCTATATTGGTGATGCCGTCTACATGCCTGGCCTGCTGTATATTAGCCCCGTGTGTCCCGATAGCCAGCCCCATCAGGTCGTCACGAACCTTGAACTCCTCCGTGTAACCTGACCGGTTTTTGGTACTCTGAAAGGTAAAAATTGTCTATTTTAGTGACAATTCTAAAATACTATACTTTATTTTATCTTGTAATTAAAGAGGGACTTCTTTTTATATATTTTTTCAAGCTAGCTTCATCCCATCTTGTAAATATTTACATGCATTGTATTTTGCAATATGTTGCATTTAGCATTTATGGTAATTAAATTTTGAGTACATCTCCGACATTTTAGAATTAACTCAATCCCCCTCTAAGAAAATAACAATCTTTACAACCTATGCAGTATTCACTACACCAGAGACATATGAACTTAACATTTCATTCAGGCAAATGTATAGCTTTTCCTTGTATCATAATTTAACATTTCAACAAGTGATACCTGAAGTCTTTGGACCGCTTCCTCTGTTCTCTTTTTCAGCATTAACTTTTGTCGGACATTACGGAGGTGCATGTCAGCCAACATGGACGCTCTCTTTATCACAGATTCATTCAGCGACTGAAACATCATTAGGAAAAACAAATGAGAATTTGAAAATCAGAACCAGGTTTATGGAACAGATTTCAACATTTTCAAGAGTGTGAAAATCAACAATAACACTGAATCTTCAACTACATAATACAAAATTAATAAAGAAAATTTACAGAATGTTTTAGAAATTTTTGTTGTTGTTCCAATTTTTCTTAAATTGCTAGAGATGTTGCATACAATTAGCTGCTGTGAGGGATTGTAAAGGTAAATACCATAACATTTAGAGTTCCCTCCTGATGATCAAAACACACACAACCCCCACCTATATGTTTCTTAAATTCGGCATGTTCATGGTCATCTTGGCACCTGAAATAGTTTTATCTTTAAAGTAAAATTTTAGTTGCTTTAAATTTTTAAAATTCATTTTGCCATGTTGGCTATAAAGAATATAGGTACAAGTATTACAGATGTGATTGAAAAACAAAAACAAATGGATTACTGGCTGATTTATACATACACTTCTCGTAGGTCAATAGGGACTTCTATAGAAAACTTGTGAAATGTGTTCTTATCTATTGGTGGGCTGAAAAACAAAGATAAATTCTTTATGACAGGAAATTTTCTTTTTATTAAGTAGTGTTTTCTTCAGAAATACTGAAGAAAAATTACACTGTATGTATTTGGCCTTTTATCAAAGTCTTTGATCAAAATGAAATGGCACACAGATATATCAGCTTACACTTTTGTTTATAAAACTTATTAAGTTATACATAAGATTTCCATAACTTAAGTTGAACTTACTTTGAGTTGATAGGTCTAACTCGCTCGAGCGGGACTATATCTGTGTACTTGGAGTCGTAACCCGTATACTCTATCACTGCAAACTCCCCCTTTAACATCTTCAGCACTGCTGGCCACCAGGCCATCTGTTCTTTTTCATTTGTACTTGTAAATACCTACAATTTTACATGTTATGATTAAGATATATATATTTAATTTGCAATTTTCATTATACATGTACATGTATTCTGTTAACGTCACATTTTCCACAAGAACATGTGTCATAAAAACAAAATTGTAAAAGTTTACATGTATCAGAATATTAAAGATATTTTTAACGCCAGTAAATTAAAATGTGAAACATGATAGGCTGGTGACTGTTTAGTAAAGATAAATTTGTAATATAATTCACTCAAAACTTGTACGTCTCAAACTTGATGTGATTGAGAAATAAAGATATCTGAGATTTTGAGATGTTGAGGTCAAATTAAAAAAAGATTGCTTCGGACTTCAACCTCACTTCACAATATCCATGATTTTCAAGATATCAATGTTTGATGTTTGACGTAGCTGCAGATCTGTGGCTCTCCAAAAAAATATATTGATAGAACGGAGAGCTACAAAGCCACCCATTGTAAAAACTGTATATTTATTGCGCACAAAAAATTGCGCTTGGTTCTTGATTTATTTCTCCATGTTTTTAAAACTGTCATCTCAAAATATTACTAACTGTGTGTTCCTAACATATTCTTTCGCTGTTTCCGCAACCAAACATTCCTCATAATTGTTGTTAATAGTCCTCCTGACCCTGATATTGTAATCATAGATCATTTCGCTTATTCATACTGACATTTCGGTTTCAAAGATAATTCGGTCCAATATGCTTCATTCAGATGTCAACTACAAGAGTGCTTGATAGAGGAGATAGGAATTTTTTGAAGTCTTACCTTTTTTGCAATTGAGGTAAGAATTTGGAAGAATTAATCAAGAACTGAGCGCACTTTTTTTTGTGCAGAGTAAATATACATTTTTTTCAGTGGGTGGCACTGTAGCTTTCCAGTCTATCAATATATTTTTTTCGGAGAGCTACAGATCTGCAGCTATGTTTCACGTAAGAATTTCAATTTAAGTTGGGTGTGTTTCTGTGGGAAATCCTCCTAAGGTTGTTACAAACCTCGACATTTTCCCCGTCCCTATAGTCTCTATGTTTGCCCTGGTCCGGTAAGGGGAGTCTGGCATTGGAGAACTTGACTCTCTGCTCGGGCTGCCAGCTGACAAAAGTAGACAAAAAAGAGATTATGTATGTTTTTAACAAACCAAAGAGTGAAAATTTTCATTAAAAAAATTTCTAGCTCTTTTATCTATTCAAAAGGTATCCTCAAACACAGAAAATTACACAACAAAATTATACAAAACTAGTAATTCATCAGAACGTCTGAGATTTCATCATCAGGCCTAAAAAAAAATGTTTTCTGTTACTTATTTAATTCCCTGCATGTTATTTTTTTCATCATAAATCCTGTAGCTGCATGCATTTCATATATCTATTTTTTAAAGCTTTAAGTTATAGGTTGTATGTAAGGACAGTAAGGCAGCTAAGGCTACTTCCAGATGCCAATTTAAGGGTTGTCAGGCAGATTTTATGGCTCGAAAAAGTGAGCTTCAAGCTGTCTTTTAAAAATTGTACGTTAAATTATGCATTTATGTAAAAATAAATTGAAAGGAAACCCTGCCTACCAACCTTACTTTTTATTAGTACATAATAGTAAATAAGCATAGAGATTTTTTTATAAACATTGTTCCATTTCTGTTCCACCTATACATGTGTGTGTACTAGATCACTTTTTAATTAGTACTTAATAGTAAAAAAAATAAGCTTAGTTTTTTTTTTTTAAGGTCTATCTCCTAATTCTTTGCAGCTCCACCTATCCACATCTGTTTGTAGTAGATCACATTACCGGGCTTATTAACGTGTAATTAGGTCTGTGTTTAGGTATCAGAGAAGAAAATCAAAATCAATGCACACAATATGTTTAAAGACACTGGCTCATAATTAATAGAGATGCCAAAGCTTCATAGATTTACTGAGTATAATAACTAAAGTTAACAGCTGTTCATTTCTTGTCCTCATTACTCATAAACTGTACACCCCAAAATTAATACATGAATATATTTCTGTCTTGTTATTCTTATCTGTAGATGTTATAAATAACTCCATAACACCTCAGCACTCATACACTTATGTGTGGCATCTTTTTATCGGGGCTTCTATGAAAATTCTTGATGGTAGCATACATGTACTCAATATGTACGGTAAATATATCTGAGTAATGTACACTACTGTACTATATCAGAATACAGGTGATATGCTGGGAATTTCCTTGTCAAATTGATACCCATCACAGCAGACTTTTACAGCAGCTCTCCCCCATTTGAAGAATTCCCCCCCAAGAAAAAGATATGCTCCCCTTGGATTTCTTCCAGTGCATTTCTAAAATTCACCGCTGAGCAAAAACAATGACTCACTCATTCTCAAAGGAGACCAGGATTTCATCTTCATACACATTCTTCACAAATGCCTGGAAATAAAAAAAAAAGAGGATTAAAACAGCTAGCAAATAAAGTGCCACGCCACAGCATGATACGCCCGTCAAAAAATTACAATTATCTTAAACAATCAAAAGTGCAAGAAAATCATGTCAACCTTGATTTTAGATTTCCATGATTTTTCAACTCCTTAAAAAATTTGTTTATCCATCTCCTGTGGTGTAGGCATTAATTATAACATATACATGTATTGCATCATTCATAGATTTCTATACTGGTTGTGTTAGACCTTGCCAAATGCCTATCATATTAAACAATATCAAATTAGGCTTAACAACTTAATCTATACCTAATTAATTTTGAAAATGAAAGGCTGGCCATCAAATATAAAATGACCAACAGTTCTGTCTAATTCCCAAAGGATACACTGTCAGTTAAGATAATGCTCTGAAGAAATAATTGAGACAGCTATAGCCTTGCTACATTGAACACATTAATTAATCTTTAACTGGATGCTTGTCTACTCATTACTCCCAAGAGATTATTGGATCTGCACTATCTAGCATAAAGCATTTTTAAAACATATAAAACCTCAATGATTTTTTTTTGTTAGATTTAATGGCAGACAGGTTTTAATATGCAATTCATATGGACATGCTGATTCCACCCCACCCCCATAAAATTAGTTTTTTAAAGTTCATAATTTTATGTAATATCAAAACAGTTTATTATGCAAAATCAAATTAGTTTTATTTACTTCTCATCAAATTCATTTTAAAACTTATGCTAGCCAACAAGAGCTATTTTTAATCCAACAGGATTACCCATTTGGCCCAATACTCAAGGGATATAGTAAAAATAGCACCGATGCTCTTCCTCACACTAAACTCATTAATTCTCTCTCTAATTTGACATGCAATTTTCTGTTATCAAAATTCTTCTTGACCAGTGCTTGATAATTAAACTCATGGGAGTGGTGGAATTTCTTTAACATACATTACATTTGTTATAAATTGCTGTCAAGTATATGCTAAAAAAAATAAGTATTTTTCTTGATTTAACATTTTTCTAATAAGGATAGTGCAATACTTTTACATTTTTTTGGAGTGTGTAAATGAAGAGAAAAAAAGACATTTTTTTTTTTAAATTTCACTTAAATTAAAGGTCACAGTGACCTTGAAATAGGTCGCGACACACCCTCTACCTAAGATGCATGAAGTGGCCAAGTTTGATGATTCTAAGTCTAATAGTTTTCAAGTTATGGACCGGACAGGATTTTTCCATACCGGTATTTGGCTATAACTTTTTAACTATAGGTCAGAGCGACCTACTTTTTGTGCGCGACACACCTTCTACCCAAGATGTATCAGCTGACAAAGTTTGATAACTCTAGGCCTTATAGTATTCAAGTTATGAGCCGGACAAAAAAAGCTCACTCACAACGAGACGGACGGATTTCATCTTCATACACATTCGGACACGAAGCCTATAACATAATACGTCCCGTCTTAAGACGGGCGTATAAAAAGGTTATAAATATATCAACATTTGTATCTTTTGTGTGCCTTTTCTCTTTTATTTGCTGGCTTGCTCTGACAGGATCTATAGAACGCTGGTTAACTTGTTGTGTATATAGATTCCCTCCTCTCTATCAGTGCTGCTTTAGCCTCTGTTTATATATACTGATCATTTCGAGATATCCCACGACACTCTCGGCTTTGTGCTATAATTAGCCTCAGCCGAAGCCTCCCCTCTCAGAATTTCTCATACCATTATCATTATTCACCTTCATCATCTATGTCAAAATGTGTAATCTACAGATCTAGTTGATAAAGATTACACAGTCACTTAAGTATCCAGACATGAAATTTGTTAACTATTAGCTGTTCATTGCTAGTTAACACAAGTTTAAGAATTCTTATTTTAAGAGTGGCAGACCAGTGTAGAATTTGTTTTCAGCATTTTAGCGCCTTTTCCATTTGTTCGATAATAACTGATGTAAGTTAGGTAAATATGTCAGCATTGCCAATGCTGTGTTTGAAATCTAAATAATGTACATGTATCTAAATTCTACAAGTCGGTTATACCATTGATTTTCATACCTTTCAAAAGAAAGTTATAGTTTTAGCTTTAAATCAAGAAATGTGTCAGAAAGAGAAAAAGTCAGTTTTGATGGAAAGAATGTTGAGCTATTTACTATGCTCTCACCTCTTGCCTACAAACTTATCTTTCAAAACAGAAATTCTCTTCAGAAACTTTCATAGAAGATAATGCATATATGTAAACATGGATTTCAATGTCCAGGTTTTATCAAGTATACAGATGTTAATCTGAATTATAAGCATGGTAAGGTTCTCTGGGCTTTTATCCTTTCTACATGCTTTGATATCCAGCATGCAAATTTACAGTTTTAAACAGTTAAGATAAAGAAACATAGCTGGTGCAAAAGGTTTGTAAACAACATCCCTGTAAAAACTCAATTTAGAATCTTTGCAACAAATGTTTTCATCTATTTTTCCTCCCTTCGAATCCATTATTATACTGATATTGTGTGCCTCTCCTTCTTCCTTTCAAGATCAGCATGATCAGTGAACATGAAGACTATAGCCTCACTGCACAGCATGATATAATTAATAAAGCTCTAACAAAGATAGTCTCATGTCTGGTAATCTCATTGTCCAAAAAAAAAATCACATAGGATTTCACTGAAAGACTACTAAGCGATTCACATTTTCAATTTTGTTGTTATGAGTTATGACACATTATTCCTCTGAGTGAAATCAGACAATATTTCAATAATCTGACCATACAGTGAAAATACTGAAACAGTGATACGACCTAGTGATTAGAGTTAAATTCTTTCAGTTGCTCAAAGAAAAGTTTGTGGACATCTGGAATCAACACTTCAAAATCAAAACTGCACATTTTTCAACATTTCATAATATATTACTCCCTTTCTTAGTGACTGCATGAATCAAAAATGTCAGTGAAAAACCTTAGTACATCATAGATGTACATGTACTCTATGTTTAGTGTGTTATTAATTTGCTCTGTCAAAATCTGTTATTGAAGAGAAATGTAAAAGACAAGTTTACATTGGCACTGAGGTTGAAATTATATTTAAATATTAAACATCTTAAGACACTCTGACAGTGTTTACATTCAATTCTGTATTATAGCCATGAAAGCTAGGCTACATTTGAGAAAAGTGAGCCACACTTGAAACAAATATAGGAATGTTCTTTTTGCTTTACAACTCATTTAAATGAACAGAAAACAGAACTTTAAATTCAAATGAATCAATTACCACTACACCTATTTCTGCTCATTGAATATAATAATATATAAAATCAATGACAATATATCAAAAAATTTAGACTAAACAAGATATAAGAAGATATTAATCTATGAACAGATGTGTGATAAATTCAGAAATTATTTTTTTCGATGACTGCATCATTTAGTCAACAATTAAATGCAAGTAAATAAAAAAGATGGGAATTTCTAGGTCATACAGCATATGACAGAATGTCATTTTATACAGTGGACACTGAGGCAGGTTTGTCTGTATATACATCAATTTTTTTCGATCACATATGATAAGCATGATAAGACCCCTACGCTATCTAAACTAATGCATCCTCCTCCAACTGCAATATTTTGATTCGGAATCAAAAGATATGATTCATGCATCTAAATTAAACTTATACCATGTATAAAGTAAAAGAATATCTCCTGATCTGTAATTATTTATGAAATGTTAAGGAGTAGGTTTTAGAAGAATTAACTTTGGCCTGATCAAAATCAGACTTGCTTCATCACTTTTTCTCTCATTGTGTACATGCATCTGTTTATCTCGAAATCATGAAGAGATTAAAAGCCCATCTGTGTAGTTGTCATGTTTGGTCGAGATAAAATTTAGAAACATCATTATGATCATGAGCAACGATTTTCCTCTAACGATGCCATGTTATGTGCATCACAGGAGCACCAGAGTGAAACATCTTAAGTTTTGATAAAGAATGATAAGAAAATACGACTCAGACTCCAAAACATGACTCATACTTTCAGCACTCTAGTAATGTTAAATATTTGACATAAAATAAATACAGGAGGTAAATTTAGTAAAATATGTCATAGGAACTACAGATAAAATCAAATCAATTCATTGAAATTAAGAGGTATGATTTCACAAATAACAAAACACCATATATACGTTCTCTCGTATGGTGTGATTATGAAAGTAGCCCATAGAAAACCCACATGAAAACGGCGTGTTTCAAAGAAATTTACTTTCAAAATTAATATCCCATCTTAATTAGCCAGTCAAAACATATAACTATTTCTAGATTCAATTCAATTATTTTTCTCAATCAATATAGACAAATAAACCAAAATATATTGAAATACCTTGTAATAAATACCGTTCGGACTGCAAACTTCGACCACTTGGTCCTCCATGTTGAATGGTTTTTACCGTTGAATTATGGGAAATATTTTTTCTGTCTGTTGATCAGATGAAAGTTTTTCCATATAAAGTTAAAGAAAACTTTTATTATCGTAAGAGGACATGAAATTCAAATTAAAATACACATTTCTTCAACATCAAATTTACCTCACAATCAAACGTTTGCTCTTTATATCCAACGAAAAAACTTCGGCGTCTCCGAATACGATTGTTATGAAGAATCTAGAGGAGTTCCTCAAAGTCATGTAAAATCCCGAGACCAATTATTTACGCGAATGGAAGTGGGTTGTTAGACTGGTACATTCCACTAAATCAGAATGTTTTTCATTATTTACATAGGTTATTAACCTAAAATGTCGTCAGACAGCGAATTAGATGAATTCTACGATGCAGAGGATGCGACCCCGAAACCGTAAGTTTACATAAATTTACACAAAATACTGGAATGATGAGAAGTGGATCTGCCTATCAAAATATATCAGCCATCAGCTGGTCATATTTTATGGGTCTCCTAAGAATATTTTGTTCTAGATACAGGAACCCTAGGTATTCTAAATATTTTTTACAGATATGTTTTAATGAAAACATTAGATATTATAGCTAACTCAGCCTAACTGTATAATTTATGATGGCAATGTGAATTGGTAGAAAATATTTATACAAACAATTAAAACTAGGGTTTTTATGTTTACTATTTTCACACTGCCAGTTGACCCAAAATATACACATGTATAAGCATCATTGTTGATTATGTTTATGGCTATGAAAAGTACCGTGCCATCGATTATAAATGACAGGTTTGAAAACCACCAAGTTACATACTGTCATTCCGAGTTTCTTCATTTGAGGAAATGTGAGTTGAGTTGTGAGCTAAGCAGCATAGAGCACCTGTGTTGGGTCCAGTAGGCTAAAATCCCATGAAATGGGTTCACGTTAACTTTGTATCATACCAGATATGCCAAGATCTGTCAGACGTGCAGCTCTGAGGGGTCCAAAACCTGAACGCATCAATGTGGGAGGAAATAAGATAAAGAAGATGTGATAGGGTCAGACCATGGGATCTATGTGCTTAGGGATCTGGAGTGGTCTTTCAACTTGAGCTCCAGCTATAATTTATTATGGAACTGGGTGGATCAGATTCTTTGTTGATAAAAAAGCATCGACATTGTAAAACAGTATTCCAGCTTTAATGTTTCTTATGTAACATTGCATCCTTCTGGTTAAATAGACCATGAATGGTGTGCTTAATTATCAAATCTTTCAAACACTAGTTTATTTAAGACAAGTATTACTGCAAATTTTGTCAACAAATTATTTTAACTTTATGTGCATTAGTTTTCCTTGAGATGTACTAATGCTTCTTCCATTTACGGTAGTACATCTTTAATTATTCATTGATAATCAATTTAGTCAACCAGTTATTCTATATTAATTTTATATAATACATTTCAGAACTCTTGGCAAGAATATTCCCCACACCTCGGCATCTCAGGTATGTCTAAATATTATATAAATACTGTGTACATTATCATGATTATAGGGATAAACTTGACTTTTTTCTCTAGTAGACTATGAAATTTACATATAAGCATGACTTTGAGTTGTATATATTCAGTGAATTATCAACAGAAAAAACAATTATATCAGATTTGAAGTATTGAGTTAAAAAGCTGGAAACATATTTTGTAGAATACATGTATAAATTTCATTTTGTTCTTACTTCCAGTCCAGAAACAGCTTAGAGGAACAAGAGAGGAAGCTGCTAGAATTTAAAAGAAAACAGGAAGAAAGGTAATTAAGGAAGATCGACCCTGTACTAAAGGGAGATAACACTAGAAATTAATCAAATCAAAATACAATCTGGAATAACACTAGAAATGGATAAATAGTTCATTAAGGGAGCCAATGTTAAAGCACATTGAGATACATTTCATAGATTTTGATCATTCAAAGAACCATGATGAAGCCAAAATAGAGAAATGTACCTACTTGAGCTCTATCTTTATGGCCGGGCTTTTGAAAGTTGGCCAGGATCAAAATTGAATATGAATGTTGACACTCTACCCCTACCCTTAAAAAAATTTATAAATTAGTGTAAGATACTCAGCATCCCATTAGCCGAAGTTAGTAGGATGAAGAGGCACAAAAAATGTCCCCATTACATTTAAACACAGTGATTTTCTTTGCCAGGAGAAGACAGGAAGATGAGGAATACAGAAAACTGCTGCTGGAACTGGAGGAAAAAAGAAGGCTGGAAAAGGAACAGGTGAGACAAATTAATTAGGTCAAGGTGTGTCAAATTAGATTATTAATAGGTAAATGCATACAAGATTGCTTAGGAAGAAGACGTTGAAAGTCATTGCCAAGCTGAGATCTGAAATTTATATCAAATTCAAAGATATGCATTACAGAGAACTGGGGTAATTGTTGGGTAGGTATAAAATGTTTATCTATCTTAGAGTTGTATACAGTGTTTATATCTGAACAAGTTCTGAAGAAGCAATAGAAATAGGTACTGCAAGAAAATTGAAACTGGGTAATTTTACAGACTTTATATTTTGTAAGCTTTATAACATTATTACATTATTTGTATTATTTTATAACATTATTTGAAACTTTGATTTTTTTAGGAAGAGGAAAAGAAGCTGCAAGAAGCAGAAAAACGACGGAGGAAGTTAGAGAGCATGAGACAAAAAATCTCCAATGAAAATATAAGCACAGAGGTAGACTCAGACTTAGGAGAAGATGAGTCCGACAAATCAACTCGAGATTATGATTCGGACTCATCCAATGAAGCTCAAGACTCAACCGAGGATTTCGTAGATTCCTACAACCCCTCAGAAGTCACCAAGAGATTAACTTTTAGTGAAAACATGGACTCTTCTCATCCAACCAAAGGCAATGTAGAAAAAGAGATTCCAGATCTGGATGTAGATGATATTTTATCCGATTCGGATGATATTGTGGATAAACTGTTCCAAGACAATCAGGTTTGTAGTGGCAGCAATGAGCCTGACATAGTCCGCAGCACCAGGACACCCCCCAACACTCTGACATCACTTCCTCCCTCTGTAATGGACCAATTAGCCTCAGCTTCCCAGAATTCCCACTCGCTTTCACTTCCTCCACCAGGCCAGTCTACAGAACCTAGAGCCCCTCCCCGCCGACGCAGGAGGGAACAGGAGCACCCCCCGGAGGAGGTAACTCTTATCTGGGTCAATTTTTTTTATTAATTATATCCATATTAGTATGCATATATGTTATATATGTATACTTTTTAGCTCACCTGAGCCAAAGGCTCAAGTGAGCTTTTCTGATCACAATTTGTCCGTTGTCTGTCGTTGTCGTTGTCGTCGTCGTTGTCGTCGTCGTCGTTGTTGTAAACTTTTCACATTTTCGACTTCTTCTCAAGAACCACTGGGCCAATTTCAACCAAACTTGCCACAAAGCATCCTTGGGTGAAGGGGATTCAAGTTTGTCCAAATGAAGGGCCACGCCCTCATTCAAGGGGAGATAATTGGGAATTAATGAAAAAATGGTGGTATCTTTTAAAAATCTTCTTCTCAAGAACCACTGTGCCAGGAAAGATGAAACTTTTGGGGAAACATCCTCAGGTAGTGTAGATTCAAGTTTGTTCATATCATGACCCCAGGGGGTGGGGCGGGGCCAAAATGGCCGACCAAAGTTTTACATAGAAATATATAGGAAAAATCTTTTAAAATCTTCTTCTCAAGAATAACAAAGCCATAGTTGATCATATTTATATGAAAGCATCCTCAGGTAGTGTAGATTCAAGTTTGTTCATATCATGACCCCCGGGGGTTGGGCGGGGCCAAAATGGCCGACCAAAGTTTTACATAGAAATATAAAGGAAAAATCTTTTAAAATCTTCTTCTCAAGAATAACAAAGCCATAGTTGATCATATTTATATGAAAGCATCCTCAGGTAGTGTAGATTCAAGTTTGTTCATATCATGACCCCCGGGGGTTGGGCGGGGCCAAAATGGCCGACCAAAGTTTTACATAGAAATATATAGGAAAATTCTTTAAAAATCTTCTTCTCGAGAATGGCAAAGCCAGGAATTGATCAAATTTTTTTGGAAGCATTCACAGGTAGTGTAGATTCAAGTTTGTTCATATCATGACCCCTGGGGGTAGGGCGGGGCCAAAATGGCCGATCAAAGTTTTACATAGAAATATATAGGAAAAATCTTTAAAAATCTTCTTCTCAAGAACTACTGGGCCAGGAAAGATGAAACTTATGTGGAATCATCCTCAGGTAGTGTAGATTCAAGGTAGTTCATATTTGACCCCCGGGGGTAGGGTGGGGCCAAAATGGCCGATCAAAGTTTTACATAGGAATATAGTGGAAAAATCTTTTAAAATCTTCTTCTCAATAAACACTGGGCCAGGAATGATAAAACTTTTGTGGAATCATCCTCAAGTAATGAAGATTCAAGTTCGCCCAAATCATGACCCCGGGGGGTAGGGTAAGGCCAAAATGGCTGATCAAAGTTTAACATAGGAATGTAACGGAAAAATCTTTAAACATCTTCTTCTCAAGAACCACTGGGCCAGGAAAGATGAAACTTATGTGGAATCATCCTCAGGTAGTGTAGATTCAAGTTTGTTCAAATCATGACCCCCAGGGGTAGGGTGGGGCCAAAATGGCCGATCAAAGTTTTACATAGGAATATATAGGAAAAATCTTCTCAAGAACCATTGAGACAGGAAAGATGAAACTCCTGTGGAATCATCCCGGGATAGTGTAGATTCAAGTTTATTCACAACAAGACCCCCAGGGGTAGGGTTGGGCAAATAACGTATAAAAAGTTTACATAAGAATATATAAAGAAACCTTATGATATTTATAGGGAATTATCCTTAGGTTGTGTAGATTAGATTCAAGTTTGTACATATCATGACCCCTGGAGGGTTTAAATTCAAGCCCCCTCCCCCCTCTCAGTAAACTTTCAGTTCTGATATGATCTGGTATGTGCTTTTTCCTAGCCAATTGCTCAGGTGAGCGATGTGGCCCCTGGGCCTCTTGTTGTTGTTAAACATGGACCAGATTACTGGTATTTACAATGTTGATATTTTTAGATCTCAAGTGAAGCTAGCACACCTGATTGGGATAACAGGCAGTCCCTCCCCCTCCCCTCTCAGTCCCCAGACAGTGGGCCCGGGCTGGATAACTTCCTGGATATTAGAGACTGTTTAGGGGGGCGGCGGCACATCAAAATGGAGGTTAGTGTTTATACACTGTACGTGCATGGAGTTCAGTTCATTTTTGGCATCAGATATAGCTGGTGAAGTTAGCTGTATTCTGAAAATATATTAAATTACTTAGTTTAATAGCTGCCTTTATAGAATTTTAAGTGTTGTCATAGCATGTGTGCTTCTGAAAAAGGATATTGTTGTCATTAAGACCATGCATGTATTCATGTACATTATGATGTGAATATGATTGTACTCAAAAATATATTTAGGCTTCTAATTAGAAATAACATTATATTTTCAGGATGCTGAGCTGCATGCAGTGAATTCCGATCAGAGTCGTCCAAGATCTGCAACAGGTAGTAGATCGAGCTCACTCGGGAGATCTGAGTCGCGCTCAAAATCAGGGTCAGGAGGTCAAAGGCAATCAATGAGTGCACCCATACAAGGCAGAAAAACAGCTTCTCTGGGCAGAGCAGATGGAAGAACTGGTACTCAGTGGAGAAATGAAAGTAAATCTACATCAGGGTCACTGGGACAAAGTGAAAGTAAATCAGGATCTAGTTCATTAGGGCGAAGTGAAAGTAAATCCCACAAGGGTGAAGAGGGACAGTATCAAAGTAAGAAATCTTCTAGTCTGCCTCGAAAAAGTTCCAATGTTTCCAGGAAGTCAGTAGAAAGGGAACGAAGGAAATCTGGAGATCGGGACAAGAAATCGTCTAAAGAATCGTCGCGTTGTTCATCGCCTAACACAGAGGAGCCCGAGGAACAACAGCCTACAGCTCCAAGGCCACGCTCAAACTCAGGAAGGACATTAACTGATGAGGTATGAGATCATTATAGAGAAACATTTTATTTTATAGAAGGTATTTTTGTATCTTTGATTAATGATTTTCAGTAATCAAAAAATGTGTACCAGGTCATTGAACTTTGCGAGAAATACAGTAAACCTTGTCTAATCCTTTTCAATACTGGCTCCAAAGAAATAGCCCAAATAAGACAATATTCTAGATTAGACAAAATTTTAAGCAATTAAATAACTGAAAGGGACTAAAAATTAAGATTTTATTACACAAGAATTCAGAATACACAGCATTGGCATTAAACAAGTTGAACTGTATATGGTATCTGTAAAAATTGCAGCATTTTCAGAGTAAAATTGGAGTAAATTTGACATTTTTCCCTGTAGGAAATCCTGGAGGGGGTGTTGGTGCTAAATCTGGACACAGGAGAGAAGGTCCCCCTGAGTATAGCAGAGGATAAAATTCCTAAGTGTATCAACCCCCTCACTCTACACATCATGAAACTCACCAAGGAAATGGACGGGTAGGCAATTTATTGATACGGAAAACGTTTTTGTTTGCTTTGTTTCTGTGCTGTAATTTTTTTGACTTTGTTTTTTATATTGAAAGTGTAAATGTGCATTTTCTATTAGTGGCATTCCTAAATGATATTTTTCTTAATTTAATGCAGCAAGAAAGAAAAATAAATACATTTTCTGAAATTCAGAAATTTTCAGTAGAATTCTCTAAGTTTTTATAGCAACATTGCTTTATACAGAATGAAAATAAGACAGCTAAATTTTGTTTGTATAAATCTAGTATTATTTTGACATACTTGTTTATCATAAAAATCCTGCATGATTGCCCCCTCAGATTACAAAAGCCCCGCTATGGTTTGTATTGGATACCAAGGCAAGTATTGTAGTGAGAACCAGTTTACAGTGGTATAAGGTCTCTTTAACTTATATATCTAGAAAAAGAGACTGAATATCTCATAACTTCAAACTTACATTCATGTAATTAGTTGAATTTTACATTTTATCTCAATTAGAACTTCAAGTATTATGAGAAACTTCAAATTCTGTTAAATCTACATACTATCTCTATATATACATGTTTGAAAAATTCAATTTTTATAACTGTGAAAAAAAAGAATGTAGAAACATGTAAGTCATATTGCAGGAATTCCTGTCTTTCTATAATGTCTTCAAGTTTTTAAATCCTTAATCTTTTCACACACATGTATATCAAGATACATGTACATGTGTATGATTAGTTTTTAAATCATTACTATAGTTAGATCATTTGCATAAAGGATTGAAAAGAAATACCAAGTATATATGTGGTATGGTTTAGAGATATGGCTAGTGGGTATGAATGCTATTCCTTTTGGTTGGTGAATCAAAAAAAAAATTCTCATCCTGCAGCTAGGAACTTGACCTGCTGACTTTCATACATGTGCAGAGTCTCTTTCATAAGGAAAAATATCTTTTATTAATTAAGGAAAGAGCTGAGCAGATGTGCTAAAAATTAGCTTTAGCAAGCAGTATCACATTTTTTTCACCCTTTTCATTTATATTATTCAGAAGTTTGTTGAGTGTGCTATTGCTATCAAGATGGACTATAAAGTTGTAAAGAAAAATTAAAATTTGGTCTTAAAAAAAAAATGTATCTTTCATATACATCTTTCCCAACTGAAAAAAATGATTAAAATATTCATATCATTAATCATGTTAATATAGCACAGAATTTTATTGTTACATTTTTTCATATAATACATCAATTTACATGATTCTAATTTGCATTTGACCTCTAATACTTCTCTAAATAACAATTCCTAACTTTTACATTGAATGCACATAATTTGATTTTTTTTATTGCATGGTTTAAAAATTCTATTTATTGGTGTGGTCAGAAAACTTCTTTATTGATGTCTTGAAATCATTCTAAAGTTTCCCCTTTTTGTACCTCATTTTACAAAAGTTATTTACTATGATTCTCCTTTACAGGGAGGGTAAGGATTTACATGATGAGGGGGCCCATGGAGGGGAGGACAGCAAATCTCTGGAGGAGGAGACAGGTGTCAGGAAGAAGGGGTAGGTAACTCTGATGTCTCAACTGCTGATAACCCAGTGCATTCTTACTGGTTGTGGATATTGTTATCGATTTTAGAAATGAGCATTTATTATCTTTGCTGTTATGTATATAATGCTCAAGGTGAACATTGGTATCTCGAATACTGTTATTTTGAATACAATTGATAGGTCAAACTGATCTGGAAGTACAAATCAATATTCTTTAAATATTTAACCCTGGAAATCTCAGATCCTTGGATATCATGAAGTTTTTTCTTGGGCAGTTCTCTTTAGTTAGAGATGACAATGCTTGACTGTCTATTGAAAGAATTAAAGCTTTCTTTTTTATTACTTTTTTACATTACTCTTTTTTACTGCTGATGTTTCAGACTAAAGCTGAAGAAATTCCTAGAGAAGAAAATGAAGAAAAATGTAGACAAACTCAAAACTGCTGCAGACCAGGGTTAGTACCTCAACGGTATCATCTATAAAAAATACCTGTACAGTAAAACCTTCCTAATCCAGACATCATTTAGTTCCACGGACACTAGCTTTTTTTTTTATTATCAAAATCAGTATTAGTCTCAAAATAGATCTATGTACAATAAAATTAAACCACAATGGGTATCAGAAGATGTTTCAAACATTGACTGAATTTTATGAAAGGAACTAAAATTATATATATCATATACTGTAGATCACTAAATTTTCGCGACACCTTTTTTTCGCGAGATAGTCATTAACTCTTTATTAGCGAGACAAAATTTTCACGAATTGTGGTCATTTCTCTATATAATCTTAAGGAATTCTTTTATACGCGATAAGAAATTTTCGCGAGCAATCCGTCTCGCGTAATTGAGCGAAAATAAAGTTCTCGTGAATAAAACATGATTTACAGTAGTCAAAATCTCGGAGTTCCGCTGTAGGTTAAATTGTGCATGTTTACACAGAAGAGAAATTTTTAGAGATTTTTGATGTATTTAATGTTAATTCCTTTTTTCCTTTTTATAATTTTTAGTGATACATGGAGATGAGACAGGTGTAGAAGAAGAAGTTAATGTGGACGGGAAAATCTTCAAGGTTAGTCAGGTTCCAGGTTGTGTGTATGAAATGTTGTCAGTATACTCATATTCTGAAAATGTCAGGCAAATACATTGTATACATTAATTATTGTATACATTAAGGTAATGACTTTTTGAATGTGACATTGACTCATATGCCTAATGTTTGCTAAAAAATAAAGTGGTATAGTACACAATGGTGAACTGAATTGTCTGTTACAGCTGAAAGCTCATCATAAAGGCACTAAGGAATTTAACCAGCTCAAGATGTTACAGGATATGAGTGGGGTCCACACGGTCAGTAGCCTCTATCTCAGTGTTTTATTTTCCTACCAGCTGGAGGTGTGTGTGTGTGTTTGTCTGTTTGTCTGGGGTAGAGGAATGGGGGTGGAGCAATATGTTAAAGCAGAGATTACAAATTGTTTGAAGTGCTTTAGAAAATAGAATTTAGAAATGTGAAAATATAATTCTTAGAATACATATTAATAAGCTTTTAAATTTCTTTTTGATAGAAAGAAAAAAAGGGTTGGGAATTGAATAGCCACCACATGTTTTAGTTTTCTATTGTTTTGTTTCTTTGATAACTTTTAGAATTTCCTTTTCAAAAATGATTTTGCCTTTTAAATGTAGAGTTGGTATTTGAATGTATGATATCTATGCCGAAATGTTATGAATGTTTATGTTTTTATTGTCTTTTTCAATGAAATGTTTATAGTTGGTGCATTTCCATGTGATTTGATCTATTCTTGTAGTGTCTTTTCGTGTTTAGAATACACTTTTTGTAGCACAGAGTTTTCCATTAACACAATAACTGTCACAGCTTCACAGTTCACTCTGACTTATTATCCTCAAAACATTCATCAAAAATTAAAGAAAAACAAAATTGCTATTTTACATTCACACATCTACTGATGAAAATAGCCATGCAAGAAGAGAGAATTTCACTCAAGCACTTCTAACCTGTAATGAGATTCATACTATTTTTAGGAAGTGGATGATGACCTTGACCGTACTATGACTGAAGCAGTAGGTTCAGAAATAATTCTCCAGCATTAACTCTTACAGCCTCTATATGTTGCCAAAGTCTCTATCATCTGATTTTACATAAAATCTGTATATTTTGAGATGGCTTTAAAAATTTTTCTTAGCAATCCCAAAACTATTTTTTTCCTGCTCCTAAAAAACTACTTAATTCTACCAACACATAAATATACACCAAGCATGCAGGTTTGATTTGCATGCTGTTGTAAATGTGTATTACTGTCTTGTGCATGATTTATAACTAATTGCTCTGATGTTGCAGGTACATAACATGATATTGATAAGCAATTTTTGTATTAAGTCTTGTACCACTTTTGATCAGTATTTAGCATGTAAACCCATGCTTTATTAAACTATTACATACATGTACCAGGGTTCTGATAGATACATGTATTTGTTAAAGATTATCTTATAAAAAGAAAGGCATTTGTAATTATTGATATGCTTGTATCAAAAAGGATAAAAATTTATATTTATCTCGCAAATCACCAGTAATGAAAGATATTTCACAATTATGCTTGATTAGGGCAGATATTACATGTATCAATATCATTATTACGAGATAAAGTGAAACATAGAAGACCCTTTGACCTTTGACCCCTGTTGTCTTGGTTACAGGGTGCTGTGTGGACTATGAAGTTTTCACCGTGCGGTAAGCTCCTCGCGACGGGAGGACAAGACAACATGCTGAGGATCTGGGTCCTCAAGGCCGCCTACCCTCACTTTGATGACATGAGGACAAAGTACGCTGATGGTACGTATGTTGGTATTTTTTTTTGTTCTTGAGTACCTGGGTATATAATTTTGCAGGTAACATGTATAAACAGAAGATTTGATAAAGTCAACTGATCTGAAGCTCTCTTTTGTGAATATGGGAAAGAAAGGGGAGGGGGGCATGGAAGTATGGATGTGGAAGAAAGAGGATTGGAAGAGAGGTTGGAGAAAAAAATGGGGGAGAAGAGGGGGGAGGAAGGAGGAAGAAAGGGAAGGGGGGTAGGGGTGGAGAAGGGTAAATTCTTACTTATAATAGTGACTCTGGACTTTTGTCTCTGGTCTTAATTCATTGTGTTATAATGAATTCATAATTTTTATTCCAGTTCGGGTGTCTCCAACTCCTTCACATGAAAGTCTCAACTCCATTGTGTCAGAAAATTCTGTGGGAGATTTCCTTACACAGGTATGAGGAAAGACAAATACTGTCAACTATGGTTTTTTAGCTCTACTGGTCAGAGACCAAAAGAGCTTATGTGATAGTAATGCATCTGGCGTCCGTCCGTCTGTCTGTCTAGCTGTCTGTCTGTCTGTCTGTAAACAATTTTTCAAAATGCTACTCCTCCTACAGTTTCGGTCTGATTTCAGTATAACTTGGCACACAAGTAGACTACACTCAGATACATAATTCTATATATCGGTTTTTGATTTCGAGGAACGGTGTTGCCATGGTTACTAAAAATATAAATTACTGTGAAATACTTTCAAAATGCAACTCCTCCTACAGTTTAAGTCTGATTTCAATATAACTTTGCACACAAGTAGACTACACTAAGATACATAATTCTATATATCGATTTTTGATTTCCATGAACGGTGTTGCCGTGGTTACTAAAAATAGAAATTTCTGTGAAATACTTTCAAAATGCTACTTCTCCTACAGTTTTGGTCTGATTTCAATATAACTTGGCACACAGGTAGACTAACTAAGATACATAATTCTGTGTATCGGTTTTTGATTTCGATGAACGTTGTTGCCATGGTTACTAGAATTAGAAATTTCTGTGAAATTCTTTCAAACTGCTACTCCTCCTACAGTTTTGGTCTGATTTCAGAATAACTTGGCACACAAGTAAACTACACTCAGATACATAATTCTGTGTATTGGTTTTTGATTTGGATGAATGGATTTGCCGTGGTTACTAAAAATAGAAATTTCTGTGAAATTCTTTCAAACTGCTACTCCTCCTACAGTTTTGGTCTGATTTCAGTATAACTTGGCACACAAGTAGACTACACTCAGATACATTATTCTATTTATCGGTTTTTGATTTCGATGAATGGTGTTGCCGTGGTTACTAAAAATAGAAATTTCTGTTAAATACTCTCAAAATGCAACTCCTCCTACAGTTTTAGTCTGATTATAATATAATGTGGCATGCAAGTACACTACACTAAGAACATAAAGAGGCTTAATCAAGGATCATTATTCTGTGTTTTGCTGTTGTAAAGTTTCAATTCCCAACTGCTTAAGTACTTTTCTCTTCCTTTGTTATAAGTACAAACCAGTAGAGCTTCAGTCTTGACAGAGATTCTGGTTTCTCATACAAGGGATACTCATCAAGCTCAAAAGGAATTCATGCTTATTTATGTTGATTGTTTCAAATAATTCTAACATTTGAAACATTGTTTTTTGAATAAGATGATTTAATGAAGGCATTTTTCATCTTCATTTTGAAGAAAAAGTTGGTGAAGGAATGTAGACATTTCTGTTTAAATATTGCATTTCAGTATATGTTTGAATTAATATTTTGACAGGCCCAGATGACATCAGATGAGGATAAGGACGCCCCTTTTATGTCCCGCCCCCTGTGTGTTTACCGGGGTCACATATCAGATGTACTAGATGTCTCTTGGTCTAAAGTAAGTACCCTTATTACCTGATATATATGTCAAATAAATGGAAAAAAATATTTCAATGTAGATGTATTTTAAATAAAAAACAAATAACATTTCAAAATAAAAGTACAAATGTATTATTTTATACATATAAATTGTTTTTTAAAATGATATGTACATGTTTTTAAGAAATATTTGCCTTAAAACCAATAGAAACAAATTTTTTTCAAATATTTTACAAATGTGTCACAAAATGGACAATGGACAAAAAACTAAAAACTGGGTTAAATTATGTTTTTCAGAATTACTTCATCTTGTCCTCCTCAATGGATAAAACCGTGCGACTGTGGCACATTTCTCGGAGAGAGTGTCTGTGTATATTCCAGCATATAGACTTTGTCACCGCTATAGTGTTCCATCCAAAGGTGAACATTTACAACAGAACAAATGCATGTATTTCTCTCTCATTGACAAAAAATCATTTCTTTATATTGATTATTGAAATACTATATGAATAAAAAAGAAAAACAAGGTATGAAGTCACTGTGCAAAAAAAAAAAATACATGAATCAATGTACAGGTAAAATGTACATTGTACAATACTGTAAACATATTACATTTTGCTGTGTATTTTTTTTAGCGCCTTTCGCGAAAGCAGCCTCCGCTAAATCAAGTACCTGTACATCGCTAAATGCTTTGTGTATAAAGGTTTATGTAATGCACATTTAAAAAGTGCTAAATCAAATCTACGCCAACTTGTTGAAAATTCAATTTCCGCCAAATATCGTACACGCCAAATATAATACGTTTACAGTTAGTGTTGCGTATTTCAGCTTTACTTTGGACCATTTCACATTACAACCAGCTGATACTTGCAATTTTGTTTTCACTGTCTACACATCATTTGTACATATTGATATACTTTTAAGAATGGTATAGAAACTCAAAAGAAATTCTACAGTTGTTTATTTCTGAATTGCTAAGAAAATCTAACTCATAGTTTTGTATTGTATGTTTTAATATTATGTTTTATTGTATATCACTGTCTTACCATTACTTCTTTTAGGATGATAGGTACTTTTTAAGTGGTTCATTAGACGGTAAGTTAAGACTGTGGAACATTCCTGAGAAAAAAGTTACAATGTGGAACGAGGTCTCCAGTCTAATAACGACAGCCAACTTCTGCCACAATGGAAAGTTTGCTGTCGCCGGAACTTACGATGGAAAATGTATATTCTACACCACAGAGGTAAACTGTCATGAAAGTTGAATTAATTTTGTATACAGTGTATATGAACATTTTATGAACAAAAAAAATAAGCAAAAAAAAGCTTATACACTTATCACATTCAAAGTACTGATTATTTCGATGAATAAAGCAGTTGATCATTCAGTTAAAGAGAGAGTTTCTCTTTGTATTGCTCTAGAATAATAAAAAAACCTTCCCCCCAAAAAAATCTTTATATATACATGTATGTGTACAGGTAAATGTAGATAACATTTGTTGTAGGGATGTCAAATCGGTCAATTCTTAACTGATGTTCGAACCCGGGTACTCGGTAAAAGTGTAAATGAATTGAACAAGTTAAATAACTGTAAAACATTTTTTTGTAGAAATAAAACCGATAGGAGGTTACCTGCAAATGCGTTGTAAAAGTTATTACAACTTTGTAGCGGACGAAATTTAATCTAACATTTTTTTAAAGTTCAACTTCTTTATCAGATAAATACGAGAAATAAAATATATGGTTCACAGTGTTTTTGTTTAAAAAATAATCTGTTCCGTGATTGTAATATAACTCTTTGGTGCGTTTGACGTCCAAGTGATAAGTTGTCTGAGCTACATGTACGGTATAAACTTGATCAAGTTATCCTATAACAGAGATTTATACGATATTTACACTTTTTGATCCTAGATTTCATAAAATTACGATACGGTATGTTGTAGTTTGGAGCAACGATGGACATAAGATTTTTAAAGCATTTGCCTTCAACCATTTGCATTAATTGGCATGTAATCAAACGCATCCATATCAACAATCGCACGTGCAAAGTTTCCCCGAGAAGAGAATTGACAAAATTATTTGATTTATTTAAATATAATTCCTTATAATGTTCGATGAAAACAAATAAAAACAAATTAACTAAACATAAGGGTAGAAAACAAAGGTGAGAAAAGCCAGGTAGGTACATCAGGTGTTTGGTCACGATAATTACTGTATAAACACTGCCATAACGGTCATTTAGAGGCGTAGGAAACCCTAATTACTGTATGTACAATTTTACGTTTTAAAACCGATTTTTTAATGCATTAATAGATAAGCTCAGAAATATTTAAAAATATACATCCGAGTAACCGAGTACCAGTTTTAGTATTCGATACTTTGTACCCGGGTAACCGGGTACTCGTTGACATCCCTAATTTGTTGTAATGATGTTAACTTACAATTTTTTTTCCAGCAATTAAAATACTACACTCAGATCCATGTAAGGTCAACAAGAGGTAAAAATGCCAAAGGAAGCAAAATCACGGGTGTGGAACCGCTACCTGGGGAAGATAAGGTAAAAGAGAGAGAGAAAGAGAGAAAGAGGGGGGAGAGAGATTACATGAAAGAGAGACAGAGCAAGAGAGAGAATTTATCTGATTTCATGTTCTCTTGAGAAGTAGTAGTGAAGAGTTTTTGCACTTATGATAATAACAAGAAAAAATTTTTTATTTACAAAAAAATTATAGAAATTCAATTTATTTGTTTCAGATATTGGTGACTTCTAATGACTCCAGGATAAGATTATATGATCTACGAGATTTGACCTTGACCTGTAAATACAAGGGTTGCACTAATAACAGTAGTCAGATCAAGGCCAGTTTTAGGTAAGTTGGCTAATAATTTGAGGGAAAAGTGTTAAAAGGAAAAAATTTGTCTGAAAAGACTTCTTTTGTAATTAGTATACACACAGAAGATATGCCTGACTTCGGTTATTTTTCAAAATATGGAGAGAAATAGGTTTAGGTAATTCAAAATTCAAGTTTTGATTTTTCTCTCAAAATTTAGTTTGCATAATGAATTAAAGCTTTTTATCACTTTGCAGTCCCAAGTCTAAGTACCTGATCTGTGGTTCTGAGGACCACTTTGTGTACATCTGGAAGACGCAGCACGAGTTCTATAAATTCTCATCGGCCAGGAGAGATCGCAATGATTACTGGGAGGCTATTAAAGGTAGGGCTCTACAGTGTATACATGTCAGTGTTACAGAACTTAAGCTATGTTTAACACAGCAAGGGAATTACATAGAATTACATCCTATTTCATCATGAAAATTATACACTTTAAAGTACAATTGCTTTGAGACAGTATGAATTGAAAATTTACTCTAAGATAATAATTTATTGACGATGCAGTAATGACTTATCATACATGTATAAGCAATGGTTGAATAAGAGATAACACATTATTTTTTCCCTTATTGAGAATTCTTGGATATCTTGATTATATTAAGTTCAAGATAACATGAATTTTTAACTCTACCTGTAAAACTTACCAGGTATATTTACTGTTATTTATTTTTAAGGGTAAAGTTTTTTGTGCAAATTAAAGGGATTAAGATACAATTTAAGCTTCATTTCTATTAACATTATTAATGAATTAATCTTTCTGTTTTAGTTCACAATGCCACAGTCACTGCTGCTGTGTTTGCCCCCAACCCTTCCCTGTTTGTCCGCTCCAAGAAACAGGAACCCAACCCCAGCAAAGAGACAGAGGAGACCCCCAGACAGGTGATTGTCGCCGCAGACTTCACAGGGGCCATAAAAGTCGTACTTAACCTCGGACCCAAACCAACATAGACTGACCGCCACGGACTTCATGGGGGCCATAAAAGTCGTACTTAATCTCGGACCTAAACCAACATAGGCTGATGGTTATACATTTCTTACAAAGTATGGTGGAATTGCTAATTGCACAAGGAACTCCCAGTTTATGGGAAAGTAACATGATTTATGAAAATTGCTTCATATTTTTGTTCTAAAATTCTGCAGATTTAGCTTGAGCTGTCCTGTTGAATTATAGTATGATATGTGTATTACTTTTTATGCAGCATTGTTTTAAAGGCCTGTATTTTCATTACTCTAATATAGTTAAACTGTATTATTTCAAACACTGGTATCTCAACATTAAAAGAAATCTTTTTTTAAAATAATATTTTATCCTCTGTATCTATAGTTACTGTACTGGATATTTTGACTTTTTCCCTTAGCCCTTTTGAGTACAAGATAATAAGATTTGACTGTAGTTTAATTACTGATATAGAATGGTTTTGAATCATAATACTTATTTTAAATTAGATTTGTCATGTTATTATACACTAATATACTTTATGTACAATGTATATCCAGTGCTGGTTGAAATGATAAATGATACATGATTGGTCTCAGCAAAAGTGGCCAAACACCAAATATGTACACATTTTGTTTTGGAATAGACAGTGTTGGATTAAACAGTGTAAAGTATATGAAAAATTCACTGTAGTCAAAGGGGAGTGTAGCAAAATCAGGATATACAGTGAAACAGATTATAGAAGTTTTGTAATAGACAGTTTTCACTGTAATTTGGACATGATGCTGAGGAATTTATACAAGACTTCCACTAATTTTTACTTAGTAGAGATTATCAGGAGATAGTAAATCATGAATTTTGATGAACATGTAGATATATTTATATAATACTCCTTTTTATACAAATGAGATCTCGGAAAGTGTGTTTGTTTGTCTGTCTGTTTACACCCGTAAGTGTGACCAGTTTGACTTGTAGAGTTGTTAGTTACATGTGTACCCTCGAATCATGAGTTTTCGTGGCATTACGGTTAATTTGTAATAAAGTGCTTCAAGACTAAATAATTGAGATGTTTGCTATTTATCACACATACAAACAATAATTTTCCTTATTTTAAAATGATTTTAACTCACATATCATTTGTTATTTGTTCAGATGGTCATTGAATTCTTGCATTATTGCTCTTTCAATTTTTTTGCTGACGTCATATGTTTTCGTGGTATTTATAAAACAAGTAAACTATGGAAATGCAGTCGGGGAAAATCCTTATAAACTTTACAGTGTCCAAAATACTAGTTAATTGTACACAATTTGACATGGTAATTTATTTGTTGTTAATTAAGACCACATCTATTTAGGCGTGCCTAAGCTGTATTGCTAAATAATGTAAAAAAATTTTTCTTTCTCAAGATTGGCCTAGAAGTAATTTTATAATGCTTTATTTGAATGTTTCATGTTTTAAAATATAAATTACATGTATATTTAAAGAAATTAAATGTTTAATTCAATTAATTATCAATGACACAAGATTTTTTTTATCATATAACTTTTTAACACCCCCGATATTTTCTTTGAAAATTATATAAAAAATGACGTTACTAGATCACCGTAGAAAAAATTTCAAAAGTGGGAAATTCCAAATTATTGTCACTTGACCGGTAGCTGTATGGATAGTTAACAGACGCTGATATGCAAGATCGCCGGCTATTAGTTTGTAAGTTTGGTATTCTAGTTCAAAACACGACGAATAAGCGTATATTACGCAAATTGTCAAATTTGCGAACTATGCATAACTCACTCGCTATATTTTATTTTGGCAAAGGCAGAAAGGTTTAACATTTGGTCATAAAACGTGCACAGGGTTCCCCTATATTAATAGCAAATATTAGATCATTTCGATCTCGCTTTGTGCGATTATTCCTAAAAATAAAAAAATACCACGAAAACGTATATACCACGAAAATACATGACGGGACGGTATATGTACATCACATTCAAACATGGTAAAGCCTGGCAGCATGGCTCCTTGATAGGTCTTTGTCAAATGTAGAACTCAGAGTGGAGGTTAATGTCATTGGCTAATTCTTATGGAGGAATGTTATTAAATATGTAGATTTTCAGTAGGTAGAATTAGGTATGTACCACAATACTAGACTCGATGAACAAATTATATTGAACAAAAATCGAAAGGAATTGTATATGTGCAGTAAATATCCAGGAACAAAATTATATTTTGCTGTTAAATTCTTAGATTCAAATAAGAACTGTATTATACATAACCTTTTCTTAATGTAGATGAATACATTACATAGAACAGGGATGTCAGAGACTTTTAAGCATCTTCAGCAGTTGATCAATATTTTTCTGTCTTACAGTATTATTAACTTTTATTTTCTTACACTTTTACATATACCATACTGTACATCATTAATTTTCTGATTTTCTCAAACATAACTGTCACGATGTTGAAATAATAACTGCTGGTTATTTTAGTAAGAAATTACTTGATGGAATAATTGAAGGTAACTTGGTGAAAATAGAGGTTGAATGTTTTCTCTAAAACATCATTGATATAGTTGCACTGTTTCTTTGAACACATTCATGAAATCCACTGTCATTTTCATGATTTTACTTACTTTTGGCTTATATGTTTCCTATACCTCAGACTGTATATATTTTAATTTTATACCCCCCACAAAACTTGCACATCTATGTAATTTTTAGGATATGCATTCTCTGTCGATATATGTTTAGAATTTGTATTAAGTGTGCTAATTTAGTTGATTAGTCTGTGCATGGTATTACCTAAATTTACTTATTAATGTGTATAATTTTTTTTTTATTTGTACAAAGTTGAATTAACTGAAACCCTAATTAGGGATAATTAGAGGATCTTCAAAATTGAAGAGATCTCAAGATTTATAACAACTGACTGCTTTAAAATGTGTTGACTTTTTCATGAAATGTTTATGTGATATTTTGACAAAACTTTTATTTTTGTATCACTAAAGAACTGCAGATAAAGGGTAACTCTTTATTAATTGAAATAATTTTATTTTTGTGCAATAATATTTCTCCATGTTTAAGTTGACAACTATAGCTATATTTCACAATATTTCACGAAATAGGAAAGAATAGTTTTATGTTCTAGCAATTTAAGCAATCAATATTCAGTTCGTTCTCAAGTTATTTATATTCAAACTTTATGAACATTTCATTAGATACTAGGAGTAAGGCTTTCCTCATTTATTTTTAAAAGTATTTTTTTCCTGGTGATGATAGGGTTTTAAAAACCAATCATGAATTCAGTCAATGTTGTAATTATTTTGTATAATTAGTGATTTTTGCCTATAAAAACATCACCTTAACTTGAATTGGAAATCTTTGTGATATTTATATCTAGTCATGCAGTCTTAGGCTATGTTTTTCTATAAGATATTCAGATCAAGGTCATTTGTTGTCCAAATTTCATTTATTCACAAGAAATTTTGCTGTAAGTATAAAATATGTATAAATTAATACAAAGAAAGTATTTTAAATCCCATAAACTTACCATTTAATATGTGCTGAGATTATAATATTACTGTTTGGAACAAAAAAAGCATTTTATTTTATACATAATCACTTATATAATTATGTATAGTTTATAGTCATGCATTTTCCTATTATGTAATCTGTGTATTCTTGTATCAGTGGAATTCAAACAGTGAATTGCTGTACTATCAGTAGTCATTAAAAACTTAAATTGATTAAAAATTAGTCACATGTAAAAAAATTAATTAACATATGGTGCTATACTTCTTGGCCAGATTTACATGCTATTTTGAATATGTCGTTTACTCTCTCCTAATCATTTGAAATTTGGTTCCAAGTGTTAATATACCATAATCATGTTTTAATGGTGTTTTTACTATTGTCATTATAATGGTATTTCAGGGTGTAGTTGTTAACCATTAATATTTGTATGCCAACTGTTTATGAATGAATGATATAGAAGAAGATTGTGTAAAACCATTTTAAAATGTAAAAGCCGTATATTTATATTGATGTAATTTTAATTATTAACAAGGATAATAAATTGTTATAACTCTGGACAAATCTTTTGTTTTAGATGGAAATCAAATTTTTATTTAAAACACACACAGACACAGAAGAAAAACATTTGGGGTTTGACAAAAAGAAACAATCATATTGATAGTATGGTCTACACTTTGCGTAAGTTTTTAATCTAAAATTTTAAATATATTATGCAAGAGCCCTTTGATGTTACATTATCGACAATGATCAGGCTTCTGCATTAAATTTAAGTTCTGGGAACCAGGGTCTCTTGTATATACAAAGCATAATTGAATTATCCCCCCAACCATTAGGCACTAAGGGTGAAAATGTAAAAATTATTAAACCTTTTTGTACATCTACAGGACACCACCAATCATCTACCAAAAGATTATTAGACTACTACATAAAAATATGAGAAAGTCTGAGAACGAAGGTCTTTTTGTATCAGAAAACATCATTTTTCGAAACCAATTTGCCCCCCAGAGTGAAAATGAAAATTCCGAAATGTTAATTGCACATTTACAGGTCACCACCAATGATAAATTAAAACATGAAAAGGCTACTGCATGACGCGCACGGCGGTTGTGACCGGTCAGCAGGGGATGCTCACTCCTCCATGGCACCTAATCCCACCTCTGATGTTTCAAAGGTCCGTGTTTGCTCTGCTCCTATTTTGTATTGTTTTATGGACTTTGATATTGAATACTGTTCTCCATATCTTTCTTCATCTACGAGAAGTTCTGGAAACCAGGGTGCTTTTGTATTAAAAGACGTCCGACCTTCGTTTGACACCTAGGGCGAAAAATAAATTCCCAAACTTTAAAGCACATCTTCAGGATGCCCATCTTCCAGATCATAACTATTGCGTATTTAATATTAGAGGAGTTTTGAGAACCAGGGTGTTTTGGAATAAATCATCATATGTTGACCCCAGGATGAAGATGAACATTCTGAAAACTTCCCACATCTACTGGACTTCATCGGGCTTTTCCAAACCAAGATTATGCTACTGTATTAAATGAAGGAGGAGTCCTTGGAACCAGGGTGTGTTTGAATTAGAAAAAAAAACGTCAATTTTGTTAATCCCCATTTGACCCTCCGAGT